GGACCGCGGTCGCGACGAGATAGGAGCGATATTCCCATTTCACGGGGAAGAATGATGAATACAGTCATAGGAGAGAAAATTCCGGTGGATGGAGAGAATGGAGTGAAAATCGATGGAATCCGAAATGAGGGGGAAGCTGAAGCAGGCAAAATCTCCACGATGCACGAAGGAGCTCCGTATGAGATTCAACAATCGGGTAGAGCCAAGGAAGACCCAGGTAGCTTGCCAGAAAAGGGTCCCCTCGAATCAAGGAAGCTGGAGCCGGCGAGGGGGCTGGAGGAAGAATCGGTGAAGGAACAAGAGAAGACACGGATCTTTACGAATTCGAATCTTCCGCCGCCCCTAGCTAGGAAGACGACAAACGCAACACAGAATCGAATAGAGGGTAGGAAAGGAGTCAAATCGAAGAGGAGCGAGGGAAATAGCGAGAGAAGCATCCAAGTGGATTACGTAGGCAAAGACCGGCGAACTTCGAGAACAGCGAGGAAGAGAGCGATTGCCGTCAACGAGAGTACCGGAGCCGAGTCTCGGGTATTCTGCGAAGAATTGGGCTCGCGGCTTTCTTTCGATTCTCCACCGCGAGTGGCACCAGAGGACAGAGTGCATGGGAAGGGAATGCACGGGCTTGCCGGAGCCCCGGAAAATCTTCGCTTCAATATTCCTGTGGAAAGAGCCGTGGAGACGCCTCGGAGCTCAGATAAACACGCAGAGCGAGATGCCGACCGCAATCAATGCACGGATACCTACAATGCGTACAGGGTCGAGCAGGGAGCTAATTCATCTAGTTCAAAGGATTCCGGTATTCATCAGCTCGAGACCGTTCGAGGGTGTCCGAAGCTCGAGAAGCCGGGGGGAAGGAGAGAGGATCACGAGACGGTAGACTGGGAAAGATATGAAAGATTGTGTTCGCCAGAGCATGCCGGAGATGAAGGCGAAGTAGCTCCCGAGATGAGTGCAACGGTAAATTCAGGACAGACGGGGGTTGATGAGCTTCGGAACCTCGGAGCGGAGTTGATGGCTAAGGATAGTGCTTTGAATCCGAATGTTTCACTGGCACCGGCAATCGCAGATGAGGATGCACGAAATGATGGGATGAATATGGGCGCGCAAAACGAGAAGCCAAGAGCGGCGAAAGCGCCACTGGACGGAAGAGGCGGCGATGCGGCCCCGGAGGGCGCGACCGCGAGCTCCGAAAGAGCTCAGAGAGGCCTGCGGCTCATCAATCGAATCGATTTTCACCAGATCTATGGGACGGGGATGTCGGAGCCGGCGGCCCCGACCACGCTCGATGCTGGGCCGAACGCCGTGTCTGGTAAACAGGTCCCGGTCCTGGAAGCTCATTCGACGCACGCAGGTCTGCCTCTGATCCCGAAGAAGCTCGAAAAGCCGCGCACCAGAGAAATCGATTCTGATATCCTATCAGGAGACGGAGAGTTCGCAGGCACATCAGCCGATGGAGGCAGTGAGAGGATGCGAGACGGGGGGCACAGATCTGGAAAGAGTGAGAAAAAACTCGGAGGAACCAAAGACGGAGGTACCGCTCACGGGGAGTCGTTCAAGATCCCGCTTCCGCCAGTACGGGAAACTCCGGGCGAACCCCTTGAGAACACCGAGTACTCCCCGCCCAAGATGGATGCGGAGCTCCGAGGAGCTAAACATGCGATCATGTCACTTGGAGGGGACGCTGCTGAGAAAATGTCAAACGGTTCGGATGGGGAATCGAGGTGGAACGACAAGGATGGTCCACATCGCGAATCGTCGGGAATCATCGAGGAAGACGAGAATGTATCGTCGCTTCGAGTTTCCGAGTCTTGGACTCGAGACGGGTATAGCGAGGAGCATTCTGAAGGGGGAACTTTCTCTGAATTATCTGGTTCTTTGATAGACGTCTTGGAAGATTACCTCAAACGGGACGCAGCATTACCGAAGCGCCGAACACCGATTGTTCCACCGCCGGGATTGACTCGCATGGGGCCAGTTTCTCAGAGCAGAATGAAAATACGAAACATTTTGAGTACCGGGAGAGGCACTGTCTTTCCTCTAGGCTCAGACGGAACAGTGGACCGAGTTGAAGAGGGAAAAATCGAATCTCACGCGAAGCCAGGCGAGCCTTTTGGGAACTATCTGACGCTAGGAGTAACGGAAGTTGACGCAGTGGAACTCTCCGACAAATTGCCTCTGAGTTGCGAGAAAATTGGGCCCCTGGCGGAAATCATGTCAAAGTCTCATGGAATGGAACATGGTGTGAAGGCGATTACCAAGGACTCTGTGAGGTGTGGCGGAGCTCGACTATTAGGGAGGCCGAAAAGGGTGTTGGATCCGAAGGCCTTCTTCCACGAAATTGAATCGAAACTCCGCCAGGAGAGGAGAAAAAAACGTGACGGGATTACTTCTGGCAGTATCTTGGGACGCATGGCGGCCCCGGAGTCCTCGAGGCCATCGGACAAGAGCGGAGAAATTATAGGCGAAGCCGGGAGGAAACTTCCAGTCATTGCGATTGATCCACCGAGGGAAAGAACCCTCATCCCTGAGGTTCAGCGAGGGGCTCGGATGGTAAAAAGGGACGAAACCGTTGAAGGGGAAACAGCTGCGGAGAATATAACGTTCGTCTCCGCGAAGAGACAGAAGCTTCTGGCAAGGGGACCTGGAGCACTCCTGCCCGAGAGACGGGAAGATATCAACGCGACGCCGACGCTACCTATTCAAGCGCAGGCGTCACAGAAACGAAGAATCCCGGAAGACGCAGCGCTGAGACCAGGCTTGGATTTCGCGGATAGGCGGAAGGGTATGATCGCGAACAAAGCGAGGTCCGATATCCAATCAGGCCCACTCATTCTATCGAGTCCCGTCCACGAAATCCACGAGAATCGGAATGAAGTATTGCCAGACGCCTGCGCTCTGAACTCTAAAGGTACTTGAGTTTAATTTCTCGGGTTGGGGCTGAGTCTGCTGTTCTCCCTCTCTAGCACCCGATTTTTGGGAACATTATCTTGTGAATATTCAGCCTGCTCTCCCTAGATCAGAACGCCCGTGAAATGAAAATTCGATAACTGGGAAACGATTCTGTCGATTCCTCGCGAATTCAGAATGCCCTGGTACAGACTCCCATGCTCAATCGGGGGTACTCGGCTCGAATTCGGATGACCGGGGTACACTTCCAATACCTGATGGTCCAGGAAATCAATCAAATCTTACATTCATCTCCTCATCCGATCAGCTCCGGGAGAGGAACAAACGAACGAGCAGTTAGGGCAGCCGGAGTTCGGGCCGAAGGGTGAGGAATACGCACGTGGGGAAAGGAAGCTCGCCGGGACGCCTCATCACTCAGAGGCTCGAAGCCCCCGATTTGTGGGAGTCTACCGTGATCTGCCGAGACACAATACTATTTCGCCGAGCGCAGGTGAGCACAATCGATACGGGCCATAATCTCAGGGAACTGTGCTCTCCTCGGAAGACGAGCCCGTTCGTGGGAGAGCTTCTCGAATTTACTGAAGGAATGAGCGATGGACTCGACTTCTTCGCCTTGACGCTCCTCTGTATAAGCAGGATTGAGCCATACGTTCGAATCTTCTCTTCTATCTTCTCTCGAACGACGAGGTGGAAAGACAACTCCATGCTCATAGCATGAAAATGTATCGGTGGATGCGTAGTCTCGATGAATATCAGGCTGAATTCTTCTTCCAGGACGGGATGGCGTAGAGACAGACGGTCTGATGAGTCTGATATCCGAACCCTTGCTGTACACAGTTCTCCTCGTAGCTTTCGCTCTGCAACTATACGAATTCATGCCTGGCGTCTGAGCTTCTGCTTTCTCAATTCACTATGTATGTGTCCCCGAGAATAGAACACGACCAATAAATGGCTTTATTTTCTGCTCCGAGAAGGAATGGCGATTGTTGTAAGATTCTACTAGGTACGAATATTTTCGAAGGGTTTCCAAACCGGTGCAATTGGTCGCAAAATACCAGCGGGAGGCTCTAGGTTTGAATCAGTTAGCACCATTTACCGTTGGGTGAACTTACAGACAAGATTCTTGAATTCCCATTGATCCAGTCACCTGAACCCTACTTACGGAGCGCCAAAGAGCGACTATTTTTCAACCGTCTGCTCGAGCACGACTCACTCAGGCTATCCGATTCGCTGTGGCACTGCAGCTTTGTGAGCATGGGATATCCGCAACTCGAAACAACAAATCCTTCCGAACAACATCTTCTCTGTGTGAGATCTCCACTTTGTTGATCTTCCACCATGTCCCCTGGTTTAGGAACCCATGCCACCCACATAGGTTTCTTGAGCGTACATACTTCGAGGTTTCTCGTCGCGAGGATTCTCGGACTTCAGCCTTGTGGAGGGCCCTTGGTCAGATTTCTAATAAATCCCAGATTCCTCATCCTGAAGATTCTCGGAGTTGGTCATCGTGAGGAACAGAACATATAACTTCAACGGTTCGCGGAGTTTCGAAAACCGCGCCGAGCTGGCCATCAGCGCCATCCGCCAATATGACCGGCCCTCTCTTGTTGCTGAAGAGCCGAGGGCCGAGAGCAACCGACCCGTCCGGCGGAAGAATCGGTTGTGGGGATTGACACACAGAGGATCTTTCCCGGGATCGTCTGCTCTTGTTGACGAACCCTTTCTCGTGGGTAAATGAGTGTGCTACGACAGTGGGTGAGCGGACAACGCACGAATGAGTGAGTGAACCGTAGCGGTTGGTGCGGATGGCGACAGTGGGGCCATCTGTCCACTGACTCTGTAAACTGCGGCAACCCCCGAGACTGGCGGCCGCAGCGAGTGAACGAGCACTGAGTTGGTTGGTCGCTCGGTTGCTGTCGGTCTGTCGTCGTCCGGTTGTGCTCTCTCTAGTCGTTCGTTCGGTCGCTGGCTGGTAGGCTGGCTGCTACAGCAGCGTGTGTGGTTCGTGGTGCTGCTATTGCTACTACAAATTCTTCTGGGTGGTTGTTGGTTCATTGCTTGGTGGTTGCTCACTAAACCACCCACCCACCTGCCTGTCTGCTCACTTGCCTACCCGCCCGCTCACTCACTGAATCACTCGAGGAATTATCTAGTGGAGCGGCGGAAAACTCACGGCGGCGAGCCACAGACACACGTCAGTGAGTATATTCGATTTGCCAGAAGAGTAGCCGTAGGCTTCGAGCCACGACCGGCGAGGAAGTCGAACACGGAATTCGAATCGTACTCCCTAGTCGTCGACTGCCAAGCTGGCTGGCTCGATGATTTTCCGACTTGTGGATCGGGAAGGGATAAAAGCATCTCGAGAGATAGATTTTCTTAGTAAACGAGGTTTTCCATTCGAACTGAGAAGAGGCCTTCGTTCGAATCCGTGGGTTCCCCATCCGAGCTCTCATAGGGAGGGAACACAGCTGAGAATCGCCGAACTGATGACGGAGGGGAATAAAAGAAAGATGGAACGAATCGGGTTGCTATCGTGAGCGAGCTCTTCTCGCTCATTATTTTCAAAGATCAGATAGAGATTTACATTCGCGACCCATCCGGCGGTGCCAACGTTTCGTGCTCATTAGCGTTGATTAGATAAACGCCGGAGCTATTCGTACAAAACATTCGAACGCTCGTTCTCTGCGTGAAGTCGCAGGGAATGCTCTCCTCGCGAAACCTCTCGGAAGGTCCGTTCCTCGTAGTGATTTTCTTCCGCGAACTTCCGCAGTGAATCTTTCATGAGGACGTCCGAGATGATGTGCCTTTCGAAATTATGTGACCTTCTCGCTTGACAAAGACTCTTCGAGGTTGTGACCGTGACCGGAGACAAATACTGGCTCTCCGGAATCATCGAGAGACTTCGCAGAGTTAGCACATGGATCGCGTAAGCAGAACTCGAGAGATCATAGGAGAGATTATCATAACAACTAATTCCGTTCGCGCGGAGCTCGTAACCATGAAATCCACTTGACTAGACGAAGTCGCCGAGCAAAGGCAATGAAGCTCACGTCTCTGCGTTTTGTTCGCTGTGCACGTTGCTGTACTCCGAGTCGAACGCTGCAGTTGAAGACAGGAAGTGGTACGTTTTGGCGCCTATTTTCCTGGAGAGAGGCGAGGGGCGCTCAGCGGCCGGTCGCGAACGTGGTCTGTCTCTTGGCTATCCGCGACAGATCTCGCTCGATGATGTCGACGTTACCCGGATTCTCACGCGAAGTATTTCGCCCCGGGAGGATATGAGGACGTCAAATACAGTCGGTTCGGAACGAGCGATGGGCTCAGTGAGCTGCATACCGAGCTCGGGAGAGACTCGTCGATAGCACTCAATACGGCGGTTGCGGCGGATCGGGCCCAAGCTCGATTCATGCAACGATTCACTCCGATTCACGAACAGTGACGATCAACTATTCAAAGAAACAGACGGGACTCCGGACATTTTGAGGGGTCTTCATCCATCGACGAAACGTCCACCCGGTGCCGTGGAGGCCGTCGGATGCAGTCAGGAGTAACTCCGCGATTCTATTCCACTCCTCAACTTCGGAACCCTATCTATACATATAAATATTCCTATCTATAACCTAAATCTGGACGCATCTTCACGAGGTCGGTAGATCGTAGAGTTCAAATTGAGCGACTCGTTCGAATAATCAAACTACAGTTCTATGCTCGCTGCCTAGGTACTGGCTCATGGGGATAGGAGTGATCAAACCATGCTTCCGGCTTAGCGCTCCCAACGGACCCAATCGATCCTCCGAGGGTCTAATACCTTCAGTGAAGATGAATCAATCTTGCTTGCGAATCGTTCCGAGCTTTTACATGTCTAGTTCCTATTTCCTATCTAACACTGGGTCTCGTTCGCTCGCGAACGCGTGCTTCTGTCCCGAGGCTCGGGAGTGCTCACTTTCGTGTCAGACCGGTGAGAGTGAGCGTGAATCTTCATAGCCGGCCGTTGGTCAACCCTAACCCTGTGTCTCGCCGAGCGCGGTTCGTCTAGGTATGACTCGCCACTTAGACCATTCTAGACAGACGGCCATAGCAGCAGAAAACCTACGGGCGACTCGAAGAGCACGAGTGCGAGAATGGGCAGAGATAGTAGGAGTCAGCAGAGCAGGCGAACAGTTTGTCAACGAGAGAGAGGCTTCGAGATTCCACATGGGAACTTTGAGAATCAGCTCTCTAGCTATAAACGACAGGTATTCGATAACGTGCGTGAGAAATTGCGGTATCGCGCGAGGGAGGTTCTCGAGTACAGAGAGGAGCGATGGATTCCCAGTCCAGCGCACTGCCTCGGAATGAGGAATGTTGCCACTACAACAGCATCCCGTCAGGGAGCAAAACATTCGACCATACCCCCGACGAGTCTTGGGGAAGAAGATTCAGGGGAAGAAACCGAAGAGAAGTGATATCCTCTATGCAGGGCGCTTCCCCGACCTTCGTAATATCTCTTTACCATTTTCTCTCTTGGGGCCGGCATGCCAATGGAGAAAACCAACGCATCACAGTTGGACTCTGCCGGTCCTTCGCGATTGCGTCCGAAGTGGACGATGGACTCCCACAATCTGTGGCGGAAACCCGCATTGATGGACTGCACGGCATCGTGTTCCGAGCAGAGTGCAAGCATCATCAACGTGAGAGTGAAGTCACTTCAGTCGACGGCTGCGTGAAATCGATAACAAAGTCAAACATAATGGAGAACATTCACTGTTTGTCCGCAATAGGATCGAAACTCATTTGAGATAATGTTCCCGGAAGAATGAAGCTGAGAACTGGTTCGTGGTGAATGTCGACGCTAATTTTGTTACGGCGAATGAGCCGCGAGCAGGGAAAGCCGCCTTCTGACCTCCGGACATGCGTACACGATGCAAACCCGGATGCGTATTGTTTTGAGCCATGCAGGCCTTTTAGCTGCGGAACAGCCTTGATCACAGGGACGGATGCATCGGGAGCAGAATTGCATCGCGCTGTCAAACCCCGCCGGAGGCTCTCGAGAGATTTTCGAAACAGCCTTAATCAGCGACATTCCTTCGTCGGAGGACGGAACGATTCTCGGCACAAGGGACGATGGCCTTTCACAATAACGGAAAAGCGATTCCTTCCTTGTAGGCGCTCCCGAAAGAATGTTCGAGGCAATCTCGGAAGGTCGACTTTGGAGCCACATTCTGGAAGGGGAAGTTTTCCTCAGCAGATTCTCGCTCTTGAAAGGCCCGTCGCCTGTGAGAGGGTGGAGGGGGCTTATTGTTGTTGACATCACTCTGAGTGAGAAAGACTGCTGTAAGTCGATCAAGCCGAACGCGTTATCCGCTGTATTCACGGGTCGAGGAGACGGCGAGCCCCGATTTGATGGAGCTCCGCCGAGCGAGGTTCGGAAATCTATTCGTTGCCGACGACTGGCGGTCCTCGTTCTGCCACGTTCTCCTCGGACATCACGAGGAGCCTAAATCTTCCAAGTCCATCCCAAGTACATACATTTCATATGGCTCCTCTCTGATTCGATTGTATATGAAATGTTCACTGCTTGAAAAACAACTGTTGCTTGCGACCGCTCGACTTGAAAATAACTCGGGATTCCACTGTCTCGACATTTTTCCCTAGAATATTTTTGAGGAGCATGTGTATGCGTGAATCGCTCTCCGAAAGCCAGTCTGTGCGATGCGGGACCGAGCGAAGGATATTCATTGAGGATTAGGATTTGTGCTCGCCTTTCGGCCGATTTCCGACGGAGAGCAGAAATATGGTCTTCCTCAGGGATGGGCATTCACCCATAGAGAGCCGGTACTCCATGAAGTCTGTGGAAGAGGAATAGTTGCGCGAATTTCCGGAAGAAATGCGACGATGAATGCCCAGCCCTAGTCATCGTCCTGGTAGTGTGGGGTAGTGTTCAGAAGACCGACGGACAAGTTCTGGAGCGGTCGAGAGCGGCAGTCTAGTTGGCCTAGACCCTCATCTGCAAATTAAATAGTCCAACGGATTAAGATTCTCGAGTGCTAATGCTTTGTATACATCCATTCCGAGACTTGCGAAATTGCTCCGAAGAGAAAGACTCTGTCCTAGGATGGAGTTTTCTCTTCCGAGAGGATCTTCTCTCGAATAATCCCAGGGAGGAATAATTTGAGAATCTTTGATTTCAGAGGAAGATCAGCGCAGCTCGCAGCTGATACGAGTGGAATCAGGATCAGGATCGATTCGTGAAGAACAGAATGGCATTCGCGGGCTTGAGAAAACAGATCAACAAAGCCAACCAGGTGGGTAATTCGCTTCTAGTAGAATTACCTTCCGCTCAAAAGTCATCGACGAGCTCTCCGCTCCGTTATTACTATCCGCCCTCGGTTGGGACGGCAGGGACAAGAAGTAGTTGTCGTATCGGTCGGCAGTCGGGGTCGACCTGACCGTATCACAAGGACTGCAAATCAGGCGGTGGGCCGCTATGAATCATAGAATCTGCGACTGCCGACTAGGTTCTGCGGTCCATTAGAGGGATCGTAGTCCCTGGACACATGCTGCGTACGTCCGTTGAAAGAGAGAAGACTCTGCCACGGGGAGACAAGATCCTACGGGATGCCACATCGGAGAGTCTTGAACCCGTTGATGGTGGAAGAGATATGCGATGCATCCCGGAGAAGGTTCAATCAGACGTCACTCCGACCGAATTGATTTCGCCTGGAGTGAGCCCGCGGTGGGAATGGAGTGGACTCAGGAACACAGATGCCTGCAATATGTAAGGCCGTCGGCCGCTTGACCGCCCGACCATCAGTCGACGGGAGCATCGATTCGCCATAATCGCAAACTCAATTTTATGTCCAATACTCGCCCCCGAAGCTACAGATTCTGCAACTTTGATGATGGGCATGCCTTTTCATCATAGATTCCACTGTCTCCATTCGATACACCATTATTCCTATCCTCATTATTCACAAAGGAGATTTCCATCCTCCGGAGAGCGTCCGCTCATCAGAAGCTCTTGCTCCTCATCTTGTAGAGTCAATGCTATCCCATGCAGAATCTTTCATGCTAGCCGGGCTGACGGGACTCCTTCAAAGGAATTTTAAGCTTTGATTGACTGCGTTCTGCTTCATCTCGAACGAGGAGCTCTGCGAAACTACTCGATTGAGGGCGTTGTCGTGCCCTCCATTCCGAAGTGGATTCGATGTCCCATTCCGTGGAAAAAGTCATTTGGACTCATTGTGTCCCGATGATCACGATGATAACTTCTCGCTCACCCCTCGTCTCCTGTTCCGTTTCAGTATGTCAGCGAAAAAATCGGAGGTGCGGAAGGCACCAAGCTCACCGAAGACTATACTCATATGGAAAAGGTTAGTTCAGCTCGCGGAGGATCCGCCCCATTCGCCGGCGTCCGTCTTCGGAATGACGCTTGCAACTGCTGCATCGCATGACGTCGAACGGAATAAAACTCTCCGATTCCCTGCGGAATGATACCCGCTTCGTCCGAATCGGTCTCCAAGAGATCAGACTTCTCTCTTCTTCGCGGGAGATCGTAGCATCATAGCGCATGTGGTCCACTTAATTTCTCAAAACCCGGGGAAACTGCCCCGAAAATTTATTCTCGAACTCCTTAGTGGCATGACCTTTTTTTCCCTGCCACGCCGCGCCGGCATGAACGAATATCAAGGGTCTCCGAAGCGGAGCCTACGGTCTGCTCTCATCGAGCCTCGGTGACGTATCCGATTGCCGCTATCTCCTAGAGCTATTTGCGTTTGATATCTGCGTGCTCGACTCAATCCACTCGGAAGCTCCCCGTAGCAACGAATCGTCCTGCCTGAGCTCGTGCAGTCTTGGTTTTAATAAGTTCGAGGCGGACGTCAGCCAGCCTAAATGTTACCGTTTTTGTGAAGCGGCCTTCGGAGCAAAGTTCGTGTAGATCGACCTATCGAAGGTGAAGCATTAGCAACCGCTAAACTTAGTCCGGCGTTGGTGATCCCGTCGGCGCAGAAGCTCCCCCGAGACGAACCTTATATCGTGCATAGTTCGCTTGCTACACTCTGCCTTCGAGGAGGCGATTTCCGATGGGACGAGAGGATACGAATCTCACTCGGTGACTGCTTTTCAGAAAGTTGATCTCACCAATGATCTGGTGGAGCAGTTGATCACCCAGACCAAGGAATTACTGCAGCCCAATCCTGCGACACGAGCGAAGCTCACCGTGAACGCAAGGCTTAGAGGTCCAACGGCAACAGCTGGGCAAGCTTCACATGCATACCCTCAACCAGAAGGCATTCTCGGAGATTCAATGGTCAAATTCGGAACCGATTTGGGACCAGAATCGGCATTTGGGAGAAGTCTCATCGAAACAGGTGAGTTTATTCCCTTTATGTCGCCGATCAGGAGGAGGGGTGGAGACCGACCCCGATCGACGACTTCCGGGACGAAGCTGTCCGCTCAAGCCAAAACAAGTCTCTCTCTTTCGGGATACTCGCAGATCATTCTTAGGATTCGAGGAGGAATTGACGATCAACGGAACTCCAGTCCAATGATTCATGTCACTCCAGTCCAATGATAGCGTTTCGAGAGGAGGGAACGGACGGGAAGGGGATGAGAACTTGATCCGGGAGTGACGGAAATATTCTGTTCCAGGCGAATCTCTCCGGCAGCTCGCAGACATCAAATATTCTCTCGAAGACAATGTGAAACAGAACTTCTTGGAGCCCCTTACGCAACTCCAGCAAAAGGATCTCAAGGATGTTATGTTCCATCGCAAAAAGCTTCAAGGCCGAAGGCTCGACTACGATTGCAAGAAGAGGAAGCGAACCACGGGAGGCCATGTCACCGACGAAGAGATGCGAACTGCCGGCGAAAAATTCGAGGAGAGCTTCAATCTCGCTTCACAGGTGAGCTCTTTGATTTCACGAACTGGAGAGAAGCATCAAAACACGCCGATTCACATCTCTGGAAAGAAATATCCTCGTGATGCAATTCCGTTGATCGCGCCGACTTCGGAGCAGCGAATTCGACCGCCGACGAGGCGAGACGCCCCTCGATCGGATTCGAGCATGAGCGGATCTGCGGAGACTTGTCGCCCCGGTCGGACAGAGCGAGAATTCTATCAGAATGAACGCCAATTTCCTCGTAACCGGGATACCCGATATCCCCAATTTCCTGCGGCCTGACCTCCGCCGTTTCCTCAGACGTCGACGTGTTCGGCGCCCGATACGGAAAAGCATCGTCTGCTACATTTTTCGAGAAGGTTTTCCAAAACGCAATGACGTCGCGGCGAGTTCCTTGTGTTGACGAGGAAGTTCCGATCGGGATCGAAACTTTCCTCGAACTTCGGGAAGCAGAGCACTCAGCCATGATTGGATCCGAGTGAACATCGACTGCGATCGCTTATGCAGAGAACCTTTCTGACATTTCGAAAGGAGTGACTCGATCCTAAAGACGGGTTTCCCCCGGAGAATTCTCGACAACCTTGCATCTTGGAAGGCTTCGCCGGCACACCGTAGCTTGACGGAGCCGAGAAGGTTTTAGAGCTCCGCTTCGGAGAGTCATTTATACCCAGCGGCATTAAATCGAGCACCCTTAAAGCTTGAATTTTCTAAGGCCGGATTGGAACACAGCGGGCGGATGCTGTCTAGTCGCGAGAAACGCGGATCTATCGGACCGGCATCACGATCGAACAAAGCAGAATGACTTGATGCCGGAGCAAGAGCGCGATCGGGGGAGAGGGGGGAACGGATGCGGGGTTTTCGAGCCAGGCGTCAAAGAAAAGAAGGGACTTGAGGCGCAAGTGGAGATCCACTTTGATTTGCGAGGAATAGGCCGCGCCCTTGCAAGATAATGTCTGAAAAACAGAAATCTAGGGACTTGGATGCGTGAAGAAGCCGGAATCCTCGAGGGAATTCCAAATTGTGGGCCGCATTCCTGGAGTTCAGGCCAGGCGCTTCCTCGCCTGGTTGAGCCTCTTCTCCGACACGTGTCGAGTTCTCTCGGAGACCGGCAACATGATTCTGAGTAAATCTTCTCCGGCTAATCGACAGTTGCTCTCTCCGAATCGCAGGGAATGTTCAACCTTCTGGAGAATGACGTGGAGCAAGTTTCCCAGCTGTGTGCGCTTATGGAAGCGTTCAGCGAGTATCATCAACAATGCGCGGAGACCTTGGCGCAGCTCACTGACAAACTCCAAGACTTGCGACACGAAGCTTCTGCTAAGCCTAGAGGTTCATTCGAACCGAAGAAGCTTTCCGATCTCGACCAGCAACCACTTGACGCGGGTAAGCATGATTCTAGCTGAAACCGTTAGAATTTAGCCCATCCGATGTGCAGTAAACAAAGAGCGTGACTGTCGGGCAGCCAACGCATCGTCGCCGTTAGTACGGACTGCCCGCTCCGAGATCGTCGACATCCCTCTCAGATCAACTCGGACTTGATCGTTGAAAACGTTGGGATCGTGTATTCTGTACATTGTGGGGAAGGGAGCCCTCTCGCTTACTTCGAATCTTGGCTGTCTGCCACCAAGGGAGACATGTATACTCTATAGTCGGACCGCCCGGGGCGTGAATATAATATTCTTCCCGTCCTTATTACGAATAAGTTTCCGGAAATTCTAGGAGTAATAAGGTTGTGTGATTTTAGGACGGAGTTTGTCATCCTATCATAATGCTACCTTTTTGTCAACAGAGAGCCGTAAGCCTTTAGAGCTTAGACAAATAGTCATCATGCTTTTAGACCCGAGAGAGTTGTACCGAGCTGAGATTCCTTTGTAGTAACCCACTAGGACCAGACAAGCTCCGCTTCCGATATCTTCTGAGCACCACCACGCGATCACAGATGCTGATTCCACTCCTGGTCATATTTTCTTGAGCGTTGACGAGCTGAGGAAGCTCGACGATGCTCAATGTAGAAAAGCATTGATTTGATCGCCCAAAGCCAAACGCCGACCCTCATATGTATCACACCTTGAGCTGGATGCTTTCATCTAGAAAGCTTCACTACTTCTACACATGCCTTGAGCGACGCGCGCATGGAACTGCAGAAGGCATTGTTTATGGCAGAAACTTGGAACCAGGGAGCCCAGCTCCTGGGCCTTGCTCATTATCTCCCTTATACGGAATGATAGGGAACATTTCAAACGACTGTGAAATACCCGGGAAGCTCCGAGAACTCGGATTCTACTGTGACCAATACCTAATCTCCGAAATGTCATCTGGGCTTGCTCATCTTGATCAGATGAGGAATTCAGGTCGACCGATCCTATCCTCACGAGATCGACGTCCAGATTGAGGACTTCCTACATATTATGTACATGGGATGATTTTCCGCAGAGTTCGGAATCTCGTTTTATCGAGAGGCGATCGTCGATCTCTCCACGAAGACTTAGCGCTACGATGTATGATTTCTCTAACAAGCGGCTTGCACCTGAACTAACCTCTAATCTTGATCACTCCCGAAGGCCGTTCACCGCTCCCCTCGCCAGGCAATGCACCCGGCCAGCAGGGAGGTAACATGTACCTCGGCAACTTCAACCAACAAAACAGGAACGCCAGGTCCCCTAACGGTAGGCACAGAAACGGCCGGATGCATGGGGTGACTGTAGCTTGCAAGACCACGGAACATACTCGCGAACAAGCGCGAGAAGGCCACACTTCGGTTCCAGCCGAGTTGACCGGATCCGAACGGCAATCGCTGCGACCGAATTCCACTCAATCCGAGTGACAGTTTCCCGATACGCTGCGCGGGGAAGTCGATCAGAAAGAAAATGCCGCGTGAGCTCGTTCGCGGGACAATCGGGAGCGGTCCGACGGCTCTCATGAAATGACTCCCTGGAAGCTATGCATGAAATGCCACGTTACGTAAGCGTAGTTTGGAATGCGTGCGGGAGTCCCGGGCTTCGTCGCTTGCATCTCATTACGCGGCTACTCAAGCCAAAGGTCATCCGACGGGACCTGAGCGAAAGGTCGTCATTGGGATCACTGTATCGAGGCTGCACTTCTCAGCACGGGATAGATAGGCCACAGACCTTGAGCTACCCGACGAGGGAGAAGAATTATCAGCCCGTAATAAGTCCACGGTGCTTTGCTTCCAGCTTCGCCTATTCCGTCTCCCATGCGGTCCCCTGCCGCTCCATCTCCTTCAGCGCAGAAGAAACCGAGCGTGCAAGCGCTGTACGACTTCTCCGCGGAGAATCCTGGAGAACTTGAATTCAAGGTGAGAACACGAATGCATTCAGAGATATAATGCTCAAGTTGATCTTTCCACTGGGTACCCAGTTCTCCTCTTCAGGAGTCGACGGCTACCCCGATCGATCTTGATCGGTGTTGTTGACGTGCGCGGTATGTCCGAGACGGGAACTCGATGGATCCATCGTTGCCATTTCAGGAGGGAGATAAAATCGATCTGATCCGCCAAATAGACGCGAACTGGTTCGAGGGCTCTCTGAATGGAAAATCTGGATTTTTCCCTGTCAATTACGTTGAAGTCCTCGTCCCGCTACAGTAATTGCGGCAAGCAGCTTCTCGGTGGCCGGGAAGGGGAGCACTCCGTTCTCATCCGCAGCTGATCGATTGCTGCCCACAATTCCAGACTTATGTAAGTCCTCAATCCTCCGAAAGTGCCATGCGTTGGAAGTCGGAAGCCAACGATCCTCTTTCCTGCATGCATTAAGCCCTCATTGATTCTTGACCCCTCATGACTTATGATTTTATGAGAACGGTCTGCGTGCTCCTATCGATTCTCCTTGGGAAGCTTCATCAGCGAGCTGGGGATGACATGGCGCGCACTACCGGAGGAGTCTGACATGGGACGTTGATTTTTCAGCTTCTCGTTCCAACGAATCTACGTACCACAATACTTCATGCGAATATGCAGCGTTCGAGACATCCAGACATCTTCCCCTCTCTAATTCTCCGAATATCGGAGCGCATTAGGGAATTTCTTCTAACTGGCTTCGCAGCGCTCCGTCGATCATCGCATCGTCGTGCACCGGGACAGAAAAAGAAGCGATCCGGTCAAGCGCTTTCTCGAGGAAAGGGAAAGGAAACTCGCGCTCCCGCAGGCATTCGGGCCTTGCGGCAAAGATGAGTACTCTGGACGGCACAGCGGAGGACATTTCTGGTGATACAGAGAAAGGCATGAATCAGACAGACAGCTGATCCGACTGATGACTCGACGCAATCGACTCAAGAATGAGTGGCTCACAGCGACTCACTGTCTCGAGTCAAGAGCTCATTCGAGCTCAACAGAATCGGTATTCAGTAGCCGTGGAAACTCCACTGACGACGGGAACACATTCGACAGCGATCGTTTCGAGTAATTTATTGGACGATTTTAGAGGTAATAGACATATATGGAAGACTCGGAGAGAGACTCACAGTAAGACAGAGACGGAAACGAACGAACATAACATTATAAATCATACGAAGGGGAAAACACACACCTACGTCCCCACATAAGCACAGAGGAAGTTGACGTAGTCAGGCTGGGTACCTACGTTGCGGGTTGACTGATGGTTGTCTGAATTTGGGCTCGACTGCATATGAGTGAAGTGAATGAGAAATGCGTGCTCTGAGATGCGTTATGGAATCGTCATGAGCGGGAGCTGGTTGTGCGACGCTGGACTCCATCTATCTATCCAGCCAGCCTGACCGGTGGATTGATCGAATAATTGATGGACTGGAGTTACGATTGATGATGACGATGACGGTAGACGCTGGGAAGACGACGATCCTGGTGGCGGAACCGTCGTCTCCGTAGACCATGAGCCCACCACAGTCGGGTTTGCCTTTACAAAGGCCGCCAGAGGCCAGGACTTTCATTAGCTTTCTCTCAAACTACTTGAGACCTACATACTCGATGATAAATCGCTCTCTATTCCTCAGTCGGAGGGAAAATATCTAGGAGAATACCGTGTGGATTTATATCAATCAGTCAATCAATCACACTTATCCAATTGTCTACCCGCCTATCTACGAATCTTTCAATGGACTCATCTATCAGCAGCGGCTCAGGATCTCTGGTCGCGCGACGTGTGATTCACGTATTGCAAGTGATAGAGGCATCTACTCACTCATTCATCTCATAACCTCCCGTTTTCAATTTTTCACTGGAAGTGGTCGCGATCGCTCCCACTCGATGTCGTAGCACATAGAGGTGTCCTAGAGATCGGCATTGCAACGATGATTCCTTTGTGCTTAATCTCTTCATACGCCCTTTGCCTCGGCGGGGATGTCTCGGATCGATCGGACTTGGTTTCGCGAATCAGCATTTGTCCGCGCCATAAGCCTACAGCATGAGCGTCCGAATCGGCTTCTCTGATCGATGAGAGCCTGTCCGAGGTTCTTCGTGAGTGCTTCTTGCGATCTCGCGAAGAGCGAGCAGGGGCCTCGTTCTGTTCTCATGAATGGAGTACGTGATCATTGTCTATTTTCGACAGTGTTGGGTCTCTGGAGGCGTTATCTGGGAATTTTTCCGAGAAGATTCCCAGCTGTTTTTTTCTTCCAATTTTTTCCATAATTTCGTCCCCTCTTCAGTCCGCTAACGTGGTCTCATCCCGAAGGCTCAATCAGAGAGCGGCTCGACGAAGCCGCCCAACATATCTAGTCAGGGTGATCCTCAATGGTCTCCCGTCCATAAGGGTGAGCAGAAATCATTTCCTCAAGACAGATGAACTTATTTGCGTTTGAGAGTTTTATGCGGCAAGACTCCTGGGAGATCTGCGGGACCGCTGTCGTGTCGCTGCAGTGAAAGTGATGCATAACTTACAGAGCGTATTTTGCAATGAGTTTCCACGCTTGGATCCACCTCATCCATTTTAAATCTGATACCTTCGAGAGAAGGTGGTCTCATCAACGCCACAACGATTAGACCCTCGAGGCTTTTTTTTTCTCTCAAGTCATTCAGAGCATGGCGTGTCATGCGTGACGCAGAAACTCATCTGGTTTATGGTCATTTAGTGCGAACAGTCAAATGCATATATCTAAAGCATTACAATCACATGGGAGAAAAAAATACTTTTCTAATAGGTTATCTACTTAAGAAACTCCCCCTGAACTCTGTGCGCGTGTGACGCCGCAAAATCACAAGTCTTCGAGCAAATCACTAAGCCTACGAATCAGGCCTTGAGGGCTCCAGGAACTCCGATGACACTCTCTTGACCTTGCCTCGTATCTCCCCTGGGGAGGCGCTCTCAGTTTGTTGATAAACAAGTTTCTGTTGGGTGACAAGAATGAGTTTCTTCAACACTGCTTCGTTTCGGTGTCGGATATTCGGTCGAGTGCCTTACGTCGCCGTCATGCCTCAGTTCCCGAAAGCTTTTTGCTGACCCTCCCGGGCCCGGGCTCAGCTTAGTTGGAAGTTTCATTATGTTTGCCCGAAGCTCGCTGAACACTGCCTTCCCAAACAGATCACTGCTTCAGACCAAAAAAAAAATGCCGGTAGAACTTCTGAGCTTTATTTTCCACGCATTGAAACACATTTCGGTCGTCGGAATACTGGCGATGAGCTCAATAGTCGTCCATTCCGTGATACAGATCTGAAAAGCGGTACCGAGAGATTTGACAGGGTCCCCAGGAAAAGAAAGATACAGATCGCGATCCTGGTGCGTTTCATGGCCAAACGATCGCTAGCTCCCGACCGCAGCATCACTTGCAGAAAGGGGATATAGGAAGCATAATGACTTCCTTCCGATAGGTCGGACCTTATTCGAGGGAGGAGCCGAGGGGACAGATTAAGGATCCGAATCGAAATCCCGGATGCCACCGACGGACCGACTACCTTCCTCTCGGTTGCTTTCCAGAACTAAGATTTTCGCCAATAGTCCACGACAGAAATCGACCCAGAAAGGATTGGGGCGTGGCTTCTCACACAGAGAAAAAAACTTATTAGACGATCAGAAATACTGGGAAGCATACTGCGCCCGCGGGCTCTGATTCCTGAGATCAATAGTACCCAGCGCGGCTCTGTTCCGCTTCTTGGGTTACTGAATATGTTTCACGAATCGCAAGCACCAAAAGACGTTTTGTTGATCCGTGTGCCACTTTAGTTTGTCGTCGTCCGATCCTGAGTACCTAAAGATGATCGTTATTTAATGACTAGCTAATAAATATCGAGTTTACCCATGAGAATTGCGATCTTCATTCAAGCTGATGGGAAGTTCTTCAACCAGGTATCACTATTGCGCTCCCGAATGGACTCCTCGGAGATTTCTGGGGGAAATCTGATAGGGTCCGACTGATCTCTGAGCGATCGCTGCATGTCCGGGGGCCCTTCCATGGGATTTTCGCCGAAAGAACGGCCGTCTGCCGTTTCGCGCGCTGTTCGCGCCGCCTGCGCCAGAACAGCTGACGAGAAGGTCGCTCGCGGCGCATTCGAATTTGGCGCCTCACAAGACAGCTGATTGGCGCGCTCTTCCATGCTTCATGTCCAGAACTGGCATAAGTTTTGTGAATGCCACTTTCTCCGTGTGAGTCGGATAAGAATGTCTGTGGACGAAGCCTGTGTTCTCTCAGCCAAGCTCAAGATCAAACAATGGGAGAAAAAGTTTCTGAGTGTGAATATGCGAGTCCCAGAGCCCGCGGACATCAAGACAGCTCCAGATGATGTACGAGGTCAGTTTCGGAGAGGATACGATTGTGGACATCGTAGCTGGGATCAGCCCGCACTCGTCGGGGAGCGGTCGGAGTATTTTTAGGGAGTATGAGAACGATGATTTTCAGCTTCGTATGTGCTATACTCCAAGCATAAAAAACAAGGTCAACAGAAAGAGGTCGAAGCTCAAGAGAGCCGCATCAGGAAAGGCGAGGTTTGGGGATCGGAATTCAATGTCAGTCAGGCAAGTTCTATGCGGAAAACTTTTTCAGCCTCCGATTTCCCTCACTCTCAGTCACTGAGCTCGCGAGCGAACCCTCGCCAAAGAGTGTCTCAGCCTCTCGAGCCTCTCCCGACTCGAGCGGACCGTTTCTCCCCTGTGAGATGTCGAATCCAGGCTGTATCATTACCTACAGACCGCATCGCCGTCGGCGCAAACGGCTCAGGAACGACTCGCCGCCAAGATGAGGGCTCAATTCCAACCAGATTGTTCTGCGTGGAAGAACAGTCTGGCGAGGCTCCGCCGTTCCGCGAAACCAGCACCGGCAAAGGGTGATCCCTCGGGTGACAAATCGGTGTGTAGTCATAGGCGTCGAATCGGGGGAGTCTATTTGGTTCCGAGGAATCTAAGGATAGATAATCCGATTTTCGTAGGACGTAGGAGCCCCAACGGAGCTCCAATCAGTGAAGGATCCGTCGACGACAGACGAGAACGGATCTGAATGCTCTCGAAATACCGATGTACCGAGTCCAGTCAAGGACAGGAAGCTCTCCTACAGACCAGTTTTCAGAAATCGGGACTTGAACCCAGCTTGGCTCGAGCGTAACGCAAGTAAGATACTGTGTCAGTCGGAACATACCGCTCTTCCTACGTATCTGCGGATGTCTGGAAGCGAATTGTCCGCCGAAAAATTCAGATGTCAAACGGATCTCCCGAAGGGTTAATTCTTCGCAGACATCTCGGACGCACCAAAAAGCTTCGCGGTTACGAGTCCGGAAATCGTGCTGAACACTCCGAAAGAAAACGAGAGCGCGACATTCAAACTGAGTCAAATCAAAGCGTTTTCCAAGGCCGTAACGACGACTCCGGAGGTTGAGGAAGCCATTCGCTTGGCCAGAGTGAGTTCCGACCGGATTTCGTAGTCCCGGCTACGGGATTCCCGTGGTAGAAAAGTCGAGGACTTTATCGACTCGAGAGACAGAGATTGCTCAGAGATTGACTCGATCGATGACAGGAATCCACGGCGAAGGAGAATGACACGGGGGAGGAGAACTGTGAGAAACCGGCGCAGAAAATCAAAAGCGTCGTCACGTTCGAGGAAGAGTTTTCCAAAGAGATGGAGGGACGATCGGACGTTGCAAACGTCAGGAAAATGAAAGCTCATCAGAAGTTCGCCGCAAATCCGAAAATAGAGACTCTCGACAAATCAAGTGAGTGGAGCAGAGAACCAAGTCCCTCCATCCAACGAACATAACTCCCGAGCCTGTGTAGTCTGGGCGCTATCGTCGATTACTCTTCTGCATCAGATGTCGACACGATCGACGGGAAAGCGGAGGGAGCGCCGAAGGTTTCTTCTTCGGAGAGCTTTGAATCTGAAAAGACGATGGCCGATGAAATCGAAAATGGTGAAAAGCGTCCCGCTCCGAGGAGCATCTTGGATCCTTTCGAAGACCACGCGTCGGGCAGAAACACAGATAGCGGAAGTGTCGTGCAGCTATATCCCAGGTAAGTTCCGACTCGGTAGGCGCTATATCCATGATATGATGCTTGACCTCTCCTTTGGAGAATGATTCGAATCGCTTACGCTGATGAATATCGGAATCCCCAGGGAGACTGTGAGAACGGCTGAAGCCCAAGACTCCGAGGTGAAGAAATTGCGCAAGCGAGGCGGTCGGATCAATGCGAAAATAGACGTCGATCTCAGAGTCAAGCCTAAGCGAGCCACAGCGAAGACGAAAAGTGTGCCGAGAAAAGAGCCTTCTCGGAAACGGAAACGGGAGGGCGAAATCGAAGAGGACGCCCCTGAGACCGAAACGAAGTACCTCGGCGCTGAAGGGCCGATCGACGATGTCCCTTCGGACGCGAAACCCAAGGCTAAGAAGCCGGAAGCTTACGTTGAGGATTGTTCTGGCCCAAATAGATCGAAACGACAAAAAGTCTCGAGCCTCGAAAGGTAATATATCAAATCCAGCACGACTAACTCTCATTCATGGATGATCCCCTCGGTCGGAGCTCCGCGAGAGACACTCTCCGCCGGATGAAGATGATCGCGAATCGAGCTAATATGTATTTAGCTCATCCGCCATAGATGGAATTCTATCGATTTCAGACGAATGGCAAACGGAACAATGGGAGAGAACTTCGTCAAAGCGAATCTTAGGAAGAAAACGTACTCACGCGGGGTCAAGAAACTCAATTTCAAGAAGTACAAGTTCGAACAATGGAAGCAAGCAAAACAGTCTCAAGGCGGTGGAGGGGGCTTCAATCCAAGAATGAACTCCTCGGAATGTTTCAAATGCGGGGGTTTCGGACACTGGGCCAAGTGAGTCGATTCACCCGATATCCGAATTATGTATCGAAGCCGAAATAGTCCTAAGCATTTTTCCTGAAGGTATTGCTTCGCGAAACCGAAGCCCGAGCAGAAAGAAGACGAACCTGCCGAAGAGATTCACATTCCCACTCTGGATGAAGTCGCGGCTATGGTGAATGCGGGTGGATTGGTCGCAAGCCAAGGTAAAATTATCAAATCCGTGCCCTCTGACTGAGAAGAGCTAGCCAGGAGGTGGCTTTTCCTTCTACGTCATTCGATATGAAGCTGCGTATCAATAGTGTCCGTTCACCTGGAAATTCCTCAGCTCCAACGTACAACTATAACGTGATGCCTGCCTCGCAAACACCCGCGGAGCCTTCGCATAAGCCCGTTGTAAACGACGTTTCCGTTGAGAATATGGATGACGCACAAATCGAGGAGCTGATGTCGAACATTCCTGAAGGGAATCCCGAGGAAGATCCCGAAGTCGACCCGGCTCGTGATTCGATCTCCTTCTACGAGGAAGATGAGCAAATGGAAGTCAGAAAATCGCTCAGGGAACTGGGCTTCGAAGATTTCAGGCCTGGCCAAGAAACTGTTGTGAAGCGAATACTCCGAGGTATGCACAGGCGTTCTGCCTCAGACCGAAAATTCCCATTCGTTTTCGTCTTCAATTCTGAAGAGGGAGAGGACGAGGCCTTATTCCTCGGCATGAATTCCCGAGACATCGCCCATTTTACGCTTCCCTGTTCCCCATGCTCCAGGACAATCTACGCTGATGGTCTCTTCCACCGGATCGGGGAAATCTCTCTGCTACCAACTGCCCGCATACATTTTCGCGAAGCGAAGTAATTGCATTACTCTAGTTGTATCTCCACTCATTTCACTGATGGAGGATCAAGTGACAGGACTCCCAGGAGCCTTCAAAGCGAGCTACCTACATTCAGGAATGGCTCAGCCACAAAGGGAGAAAGCGCTGGAATTGATCCGCGAGGGCAAGGTATGTCTCATTCTCCTGTCGGACCGAGTGAGATTCGTCCCCGGATTCGCTCGCTATGATTGACTCAAACCCTACGAGATGACGATTTTTCATTCACGAGGGCTTCCGTGATGAGTAATCAGCGAACGCAAATTAAGCCCACGCTTCTCTCGAAGGTCCATGCTGTATTAGTTTCGCCTGAAGCCGTTGTAGCGGCCGGTCAGGGTGGGTCACTTCTCTCGGGACTTCCGCCAATCGCTTTTGTCTGCATCGATGAAGCTCATTGTCTCTCTGAGTGGTCCCACAACTTCCGGCCGTCGTATCTACAATTGCACAAGGTGAGACACCCTCGGGATCCTCTCATTCTGCGGGACGAGGGCTTGAACCTATGCCCCTGAGATCGTCACCAGGAAATTGAGTGAGAAACGAGAATCATTCCAGACCCTGCGGGAGAAAATGGGAGTCAAGTGTGTGCTCGCGCTGACTGCCACCGCCACGAAATCGACCTGCGACAACATTTCACAGCATCTGCAAATTAGTTCAGACGGTGTTGTCGGACTATTCAAATTGCCCTCTAACCTCATACTCACAGCATCAAAAGAAGTCGATCGCGACGCGGTAATGAACTTCGCCGATCTACCACTTTTTCCTTAAGGCAACTATTTGCATTCGAGAAAAATGAGTGTCGTTCCGAGTTCAGAATCTTGTGCTTCTCAGGCACTGATCGGTCTTCTGAAAAGCGACCGCTTTTCTGCAAGCTCGTCGATCATCGTGTACACCACCCGGAGAGACGAAACAGAACGACTGGCTTCCCTCATCCGGACCTCAATGCAGGATAAGTTGAGGTGAGGCTCTGTTTTTTTCGTCGTCTGTCGAGCTGAGGGTCCGACGTCTTCGGGTCTACATATGTAGAACGACATCGGAGGAGCTTTCCTCGTTATGATTATCGGCGTCCTCTTTTGAAGGGATCCGGCTGAACTCGCTCAAATGAAGAGACAGCGCAACAAAACTCGAGACGTCCTCGAATGGGATGCGGAAGCTTATCACGCCGGTCTGGCACCGGCGAAAAGGAAAGCCGTTCAAAATAAATTCATGAAAGGGAAGGTTCGCGTAGTAGTTGCAACAGTAGCTTTCGGGATGGGAATCGACAAGCCGGACATAAGGTCAGTCACTGAATAGAATTTGTGTCGCATTCTCTCGATCGAAATGGATGGTGAGAGAGGGTTTAATCGCGGATGTCCTTCTCGCAGGGCCATCATCCATTATAACATGCCGAAAAGTTTCGAAAACTACGTTCAAGAAGCGGGTCGAGCTGGGCGTGATGGGAAAAGGAGTGACTGCCATTTGTTCCTGGAATTCAAAAGCGAGGATCGTAACGAAATCAAACGGTCAGTCGGAGTTTGTGCATCCTTAGGGGATTGGAGTTCACCGCTGCTACCTAACTGCCTTTTCCGCTTGCAGACACATATATACCGACTCGACGGATCGTTTCGTGATACGAAAATTCCTCCGGAAAGTCTTCGAACCAATGGACAGATTGAAGGACGCAATGAATAAAATGCCGAAATTCGAAGTCGCTCTCGATATCCCCCAAATGGTCGAGTACCTTGACATGAAAGAAGAAGGTAGGGTTCGAATCCTCCGCTGCGGTGAATTCGTGATTCTTCCGCTTTGAAGTCTCGTTTCTAAATCTTCCCCATCGGATTCCAGCTATCCTCACCCTAATGTGTTTCTTGGAGTCGCATCCGAATAAGTTCATTCAAATCAAACAGAAAGTCTACGGTACATGCACCGTAAAATGCTACGGCGGTCCGCAGCAGTTCGTGGTTAGATTTCATTAGTCTGCATACTCCGAATTTCGCATGCATAGACATGTCTTGCTCGGGCTTATCCTATTTCACTGCTTTTTTTCCGGCACTTTCAGTCCCTGATCAAATCATCGCCTCCATTAGCGGCGGCCGTGGCCCTGAAGAAAAAGTTCGGTGAGCTGGATAAAAATAGTTCATCCTCGTTGACATTCCCTGTGGTGGAAGTGGCGACGTTCATGGGCTGGGACTCGAAGCAGGTCAAACGGGAGCTCAAAAACCTCGAATGGAGTAATACGAAGGGCTCTTACAGGAAAACGGGCAAGTTCAGGAATCGATATGCGGGACTCACATGAGCGTTTGCTCCAGATTATTTTCTCAGATTGTCTCCCTTATCCAGACAAAGGGCGTCAAAGGTACTATCTGAACGATGTATTCCGATTGCTAGGTGTGGTCGTGGAGTTTTCCGACTTGTGTTTCCATCTTTACGTGTCATCGGACCTCGGAAACCTCGATCAGGATGAAGTTCTAGAGTATCTATTCGAGAGGACGGAGCAACAAGAAAATATGCAGCTAGAACGGCTTGCGAAGGTTTTCAGCGCCTTCAAACATGTGGCGTTAGAGTCAGGTACGCGTTCGACTTTTCTGAAACTGTATGCGGAGGCAACGATACGAACAGCAGAACCAACATTTTCACGGACATCCGCGCATAGAATTGGATGAGCCCAGATTAGAACCTACCGAAGGATTGAGAGTGGTATGAACTCCTCCAAATTCATTTTCAGGAGAGGGAGGGGACGAAGTCGATATTGCGAAGAGCGACGAACTCAAACGCCTCATCGAAGCCTACTTCCACGAAGAACCACTCGGGATCGAAATAGATGAATTCTTCAACGAGGTCCGTGACATGCTTCGGCGGAACTTCCACGTCCGATGAGCTATTTACTTTGATTGACAAAAATCGGATTATATTGTGTAGAACGATCCGACTGGGACTTCCTCCCCGCACACGATACCTCACCGCTGAACTTTGCAATTGCAGCTATCTACGGATTACGATGCAGACTTCGTCAGGGGTGATATCCGCTCCCTGATCCACAGTCAGCCGGATCAAACGTTCTCGGGAAGAGCTGTCGCGAGGATCCTCCACGGAATCCCGTCTCCGAACTACCCTGCGCAGGTTTGGGGTCGTTTGAGACGAGTCTGGAGATCGCACATGGAAGTGGACTTCCCGTCCTTGGTGAAAATTGCGAACGAAGAGATCGTCAGCTGGAGAACGGGGAACTGATGGCCACTATTGTTTAAGTCCAAGGAACGGTTGCCATGTTTGTCCGGTATCTTGTGGCTTTCATTGATCTCATCATCTTATGGTAATTGACGTAATCCCCTGTTAAGAGTCGTCGACTCCGAGGGCATACAGAGTGTACAGAGAGAGCATGGGACCACATGGGATGATTCCCGCGAAAGTCCGCGGTTTCATTCCGGAATAAATGTGCATGACGCGATGAAGTTTCTTCTCTTCGGCTCTACGATCTCGTAGTCGGTTCGAATCGTGTATCGTTTTCTCACCGAGTCTTCAGAAATGAAAAAAAACGAGAAACCGCAAGATCAAGCCGCGTTCGGTCCAAAATTGAGGATATTCTTGGAAAACCTCAGATGCTTTCCGCTCGGGTATTTGTAGTTCCACCAGAAATTCCTCAGCTTAAACCGAGCCCAATTATTCCCAGAATGTTGAGTTCCCCTTCGGAATACTCCGTGACGCTGAACGCTCCGTGAACTTTTCGGGCTTGAGTTCCAGGGACATTTAATTTCTACGTTTTCGACCGCAATACGTGTTGTCGGGCTTGAGGATCCGTTCTCACCTCGGTGATAAAGTCACGATGGGTTTCCGAAGACTTCGATATCACCGATAGTAGCACGTGTGAGGTTCCAGATCATCAATATTCAGTTTTCACTCGTCCTTCCAATCCGCCATGTTTTCCTCCAGCGGAATATGGCTTCAATTCGTGATAGCGAATCTATCAGATGAGAATTCTCATGTAGCAAGTCGTCTGCAGCCTTGCGTGACCACCCGCGAACAAATCTTGATTCATTTTCCGCTTGGAACCTGACCCCGTCGTGAGGCAATCCATCCATAATCTCGGAAAAACTCCCGACCGGTATTGATCGAGAGATCGTCTGTTCCTCTAATCCATCAAGAATCCGTTACGGTCTTTTCTCGATCTATCCTTTCCTCCTTTGATATCACGAGAGATTTCAAGGGCCTGAAGTTCCAGGATTCCGGGAGCACTTGAGGATCGGTCAGCTCCTTAAACCTGAGATAGGACGACCCGATGGAACGAGGGAGTCAAGCGAATGACAGATGCGGGGGGCAATCGCGAATGATTTTCGGTTAAAAATAGATATTGTAAACAGAAGCGGGACAGAAGCATGCCTCTATTCTGCGATCCACCGAAAGGTGAGGCTTGACATCTGGGTGAGATCGCTCGCAGGCGGCTATCGCGGAACTCATCATGTGCAAACAGACGATCTCCAGTTATAAATCGAGAATCATGAAAAAAGACATTTTATTTTTCTTTTTTTACATGTTGAGTACCTAACCCTCTCTTTCACTCGGCTATCCGGAATGAATTCCTAGCATGGCTGCGCTGAACTAGCGTTTTGGGGCTCAACAACCTCTGGAAATCTCAACCGTAATAACCGTGTCCACCGAGGCCGTATCCACCGTATCCGAGACCACCGTATCCTTTGTAGCTTCCGTGGCTAATTTTCGAGCCATAGGAGAACGCCCTGCCGACTGGATAGTGGCCGTATCCTCCGTATCCGTAGCCTCCGCCGTATCCGTGACCTCCACCGTATCCGTAACCTCCACCGTATCCGTAACCGAGACCTCCCAGGTGGCCAGCCATGGTGCAGCCGACGACGGCGGCGACGAGCAGGGCAATCTGAAAATAAATTCTCAGGACTCGGATTCGAAGAAGGGGCTGTGAAGTGTGAACTCAGGGAGGAACTTTTCACCGGAGGAACGATCTTCTGGCAACGGAAACTTACAAGGAACTTCATGTTTGAATCAGTAAAGGCTCGAGAATATTGGACTGAGGCTCGCAGTCGACTTTATATACTGAGGAGCCGAAAGCCCTCGCCTTCTGGTGATCACAGAATTTAGCCCAGTGCCCTTACTTGCTCGGTGACTTTGATCTTGACGAATTCGCGCTGCTTACAGATTTAAACAAGTTCGTCAGGGGAGCAATCTTTATCTCAATGGATGCCGACTACTTCTGTGGCTGGAATGAGTTTTCTCCCGCAATTAGTGTGCGATATTTCGTATCGTTGTTTTTTTCAGTTTTCACACCCACCGCCGCGTCCAGCAGAATGGCTCGAGCAGGTACAAGTTGCTCTACCAACGTCTTGATCGCATTCCTGCGATGACGTTCACGGCGGTTATTATCCGGATAAGCACGCGTAGGAAGGTGGTTTTTTCCCTGAATAGTCAAGAACTCAACAGAATTGATTTATGTGGCCCGAAAAAGGATTGGTCACAATCAGTTGTTGAATGGATCGATTTTGGCGTATGACACACCCCAGGACTTCTAGGGGGTTAGTCAGGCCGCCAGTCTTAAGAAGCGAGCGATCCACGGATCGAGGGAATGATTGACGAGCTCGAGGCCTACTCTCGTGGCGGAACTATCTTCGGTCCCCTCCAGACGGACTGGCTCGCGACTCATGCGCGTGAATCATGTGTAGGTGCTTCTATCCGGTTCACAGCACTGTCTTCATTGCGGTATGGGGGTTCAAGAACAGATCGTGTGTCGATGAAAAAATGCACCGAACATATAGCTTGCTGATGAGGCGTCGCGGACCCGCTCAATGAACATGCCGCGAAAGGTGTGGGGACATCATCGATTTAGGACGCTCTTCAGCACCATCACAAGTCGCGAATATTGGAAGCACCTGTATCGAGGCCATCGTCCATTATTGAGCTCTTCGATCATTCGGCAGTTTGAGAGCAGGTCTGATGAGAAAGGAAGGAGTTCTGAGAGAATCTGTCGCTGGAATATTCCAGCCTGGTCTATGGACAGACCTAAATCTTTTTCAGTCACTAGGATTATCCCTACGATTCCAGGCAGCGAATAGCCCTCGCGCCTACCATGGCTACTGACAGACCCGAGAAAGACTCGCCGAGGACATAGCGGCCTGACAGGGGGAATACTACGGAGCCGCCTAAGCGAGATTCGGCGCAAGAAGCAGAGTTTGCGAAGTTGCCTATTATTCTTTCTTCGACCCTCACTCCAGCTCCTTGCGACTGATCCCCTGACCTATGTTGCTGAGGTGGGCCACTTACCGAACTTCAGTTTGCCATAGGAGATTCGCTCGAGAAAAATGGATTTCTCATCGGGAAGAGCCTGTGGAAAATCGCCTCGGGAAGCGACGGAAATCATTCCTGGATCTGGCGGCTGCTGGATCCGGGCCCTCACCCTCCCGGACGAATAGCGTCAACGTGCCTGCCGACGCAAATCCCCATCGGGTGTCCAGCCGTGCTCACATGGTGCTCGAGAGGTCGTGAGGGTCATAAGCCGAAACATCTCGGACCAATCATCAATAGTCAATCCCAGCTCCAGGGCTCACAACTTTCGGAGGGATGCAATCGCAGACATACACGGGATGGAAGACACTAATCGGTTGAACATCGCTCGCGGAGTTGAGTTCCTACTCTCGGAAACGAATCCGGAAGGCATGACACTTATTTAGACCAAAAAAGAACTCATCGTCACCATGATTTTATGAAAATCTCATCCGATGACACGAAGGCGGGGAGTTTCAACCTGAGACGGAAACATTCAAACGCTCTTGTCACGATCTTGACAAGTGAGATCTTCCTAGACGTATTTGAATGTCTGGGACTTCAACATCATGCGGACAGATCAACAAGCTACGCCATAGAGCTCCGAGGTGAAAGCAGGAGGCCTGGGAACACGCCGCGCGTTTTCTCGTCCGAAAATAAGTCTGTATGAGAAAAGACTACGGCACGCCCCTGTCTCTGCCCTTGAAAATTTATTCCGACCCAGCGAGGCGCTCCTCAATGACGGGAACACAATGATACATCGCGAACGACTAACGATTATTATGTTCCTTAACTCGGCTCATCAGCGAGTTGCACGTCTTCGGGATAATCGTCGAGAGACGTCTCAAGAGCTTCTTTATTACGGACCTAGGCGCCCAACAGCGTTCCCAAAAGGAATCCGAATTGCTCGGGTCCTCAGCTTGAATTTATTTTTGGCGATCCCGATACATAGTACTGGACTTCGAGACCATCCTGGGCATCCTGGATTTTCGCCTAGAAGCTTGCAGATCGAGCTCGCGAGCATTACGTCGCCTGTTTCGATCACGCTCGGCTATTGAAGGCGCTGTCGCTCCGCTCAATGAGTAGAGTGATCACTTCCACCGCAGAATGATGCTGCTGCTCCTCGGAGACTGAGAAATAAAAAAAACTTCTCGGAAGTTGATCGCTTCTGTTTCTCGGATGCTGGACCCAGGCGGCAACTTCTGGAAATTTCAGGACAGCAGCCAGGGACTGATACGACCCTTCGGGGGATTTTCTTGATCCAGAACGAGGGATTAGAGTCCTAAGTTTTAGACCAGGGCTCATCGAGGCTCTCCGGAATCCCATGCGGAAATTCCGCAGAAAGGATGAATACCGACTTCGTCTCCTCCTCGATTCCTCCGCGTAGTGGGTAACGAATTCGAAAGCACGAGCTCAAAAGAACCTCTGCGCGTTCGCGAGCAGTCGCCGATTCGGGTGAGTACGATGCGCAATGTGACGCTCGACTTAACTCAGAAAATGCTCTGAGCAGGGTAACGGTCAAGCGGGCGAGTCGTCTCATAGAAATTTCGCCGTATCCCGTAGCGAAGCTAACTACTGCGCCTAATACTACTGCGGAAGATATGCAACGCAAGACTGTCGAATTTCTGAGAGAAACGCACTTGTTGTATGCACAACTGCCACCGTACTCCAGCAATGAGTGGGTCGCCGGTACCATCGGCGTTGTTTTTTGCTCGCAGAGCCAATTGTCGGCCGGCGAGGATTGAGCTTAAGCACAGTGACGTCGCCGTTGATCTCTTTGGTCGATGACATGGCGTTTGACTGACTAACTGGAAGCTCGGCTCGCCGACCGGCCCGGCAAAGCGATAGGATAGAGAGACCGCATGAGCGACTCGTTCTCTTTCGCCGAAAAAAAATCTCGAGTCCCGGCTGCTTCCTACAGCCAGTGAACCGGTTACGTGACGATTTCACAATCGAGGTTCTACACTGACGGACGTACCGAACGTCCAACTTCCTGGGACGTCACCGTCGGGAGCAAGCGCCCAGGCGGCCGAGCGACCGAGTCACTGACTGACGTTCGGACTGACAGAGTGGTGCTCGGCTGGTCGCTAGGCCGCCTGTTTGCCAACGAACTCAACCTTCGTGCTGGTGCTCTGGCCGGTTGTCTGCTCTCACTGCTCAGAGGGTGAACCTCTCCCTCCCAAAATGGCCGCCGTTCTCCTGTAGTCGGTGCCACACTCGAAAGGGACCCTGCCGACGACCGCTGTGTTAGCTGTGAACATTTATCCCGACGGACTGCGGGGAGGCCCTGCGGCCTACGGTGACGGCCGAAGGACTAACTGCCGACCGCTAGGCCACCCAGAAATTCAAGAATTGACTCAAGTGGTGCCCGAAAAGGATACAACATCTTGCTCCTGGCATAACATCGGTCACTTGCCCACATTCGATCGGTAGCAGCCCTTGGACACAACCTAGTGACTACGGCAGATTCGTACACTTCGGTAAGTTAAGTCGACCTGGCTTCAAGCGAGCCGAGAGGATTCGAGTTTTCCCCTCTAGAACTCTAATTTTCGGTGCGCGAAAAGCGTACTCGATGTTGAGGAGAGGAGGAGTGGACTCCTTTACACGTCCCGATCGAGAGTTGGCTTCGGTCGCCTCCGACCACCGGAATCGTTCCGATTCGGCCGGTGGATGATGTCCCGAGTCGATCTCTTGCGAAACTCAGGCCGAATCCTCCTCGACACACTTCGATCACAGCCTTCGGAAGAGGATTCGATCATTGGAATGATTTCCCACAATTCAGAATTCTCACCAGCCCGAATTTCGTCGGGGTCACGGTACGCTGGGATGGAGCTCGATCGTGAGTCTGCGAGCCAGGACGGAATCGATGGTACCACCCGCTACCGATCGGAGCAAATTCACGCAACGTAATTCTCGAGGACCTCAGTGGGCAACACCCATCTGGTGGTGGTGGTTCCTTCTGAGTAGCCGGAGCTCATCGAATCCTCCCTATTTATCTCCGAGCTCCCGCCGCCTTCCCCGTACAGAGTGTTCGGTAGACATGGGCGGCAAGAGAAGCGAATACAAGCCACGAGACTTGATTCTCTTATCAGTGTTTTGACTCGGGCGCGGTCAGCGTTGCGGATTCGTTTCCGTCGAGCATCACGCGAGTGCTGCTGTTGCCACACGTGGTGAAAGCGAGGAGCTCCTCACTCCTCGCGAAGCCAACTCGAAGCGACATCCGTGACTCTGGCTCACCTCTAATCAGCGTAGGTGTCTGCTTTGAAGTGCGGATGTTGACAAATATCGCGGGAGTACCCACTGGAATTTCAGCGTGTCTCGAACAGGACAACTGCACGCGTGAAGTTCAGCTGATACGGCCTGCAAGTTGGAGCTCTGCGGAGCCGGGACGCATGAGCCCTGGCCCGAACACCTAGCTGGGGATCGTGTGTCGAATTCATCGACTTCGGTCTGGAGGTGGTATTGTTTTGAACAAATGCTTTGTGCCGCCGACCCGAGTCACCACCTAGGCTAGGCTCTCCGTAGTAGCAACGACAAGCTCGGTCGCGAGGATGGCTTTCGAAACAGCTATGACTCGACCTGCCACTGTCGTGGGTGTCCTCTGAACAACTACTACATACGAGAGGTATGCAGACACCGATTCCGGTGCTGAGCGGTAACTTTCTCACGGAGTCTCCGAGTTTCCGGGCTCATGTTTTCCTTGAGTAATTTCACAGAACAATCACAGAGCTATGGGACAGAAGTCGAAAGGCGTTGGAAGATCCAATTGTTTGGGGGAGGCGTTCCGGGACGTTTAGAGGAACGTACGACTTTACGTGACCGGCTTGCTGAGTCGCTCGTTTGGAGCGCCGCTGTATCCACCGCACATGCTCGTGATAATCACTTCGGATCTCCGTGCCATCGATTGGCGAGTTTCGGGAAATGGGACTCAGATCGATGTTCCGGCTCCCGTTCGGAATTCATCGGGGAGCTGCATTGGTTTTCAGCTCCACGCGAGTTCCATGAATTTGGTTGCGCGGATCCTATGGAGTCCTGAACTCGGCTCGGAGGAGGTTCCCGAGCTGGATGGAACGTTGACGTCCGGCGCCCGTTCGCAAGCCGTCCGTTTTCGGCATTAGCCGCTGTGTCCACGGGTCGGACCATAAGAGAACAAGCGGAGTACGTTTTATTCCGAGTTTTCCGGGATGGTGAAAACTCTGACTGACAATCATGATCCAATCAGGGTCCAATGGTCAGCTCTCGAAGAAACCCCCGCGAAAGCTTTCAGTGAGCAATAAGTCGTACGTTACCGAGCGGAAGACCGCCAGGAGATTGACTGGCCGGTCATCGGATTGGCTTCAACAAAGCAGCTCATCGTATCCACTGCCCTTGGCTGTTGATTAAGTCGTTCTGTTGGCACGCTACGAACCTGGAGTTCAGTCGGAGCGGCCTTCGCTCATCACAGTTGACCTCATCAATGTCCGGGTGATCCGGAGACAGCGCTCATTCTGCCTTTCGACAGTGGGGGCCGTGATGGCCTCTAGGGAATCCCTGCATACGGCGCTGGCTGGACACTTTTGCCCCGAAAACAGGAATCCGCCCTCAGATCGATGGGAAGACACGGAAGCTGCTCAAGAAGAGCAACCATTTCCGTGAAACTTTGAAAGCTTTCGAAGTCGGTAGATGAAGCTCGAGCGTTTCGACAAGCTCGTCAGCGCTTCAGTGAAACGCCGGGAGACGAATGAGCAAAAAGATTCTCCGAACACGCGGTACATCCGTTCAGGTGCCACCACGTGTGGAACTCAACGAGAATAGCGTTGACGACACTGGACGATTAGATGATATTGCAACGACATATGCACTGCTTCGGAGGATTGCTTGTCATTTATTAGAGAGGAATGGTCTTCGAACGCGAGTGTGCAATTCGGCTGCTCTGGGTAGGTCTGCTCGCGGTTTTCGTCATAGGTCGGGACATTGTATGAACAACTCACAAGTGTGTCTGTCCTTAGTTGCGACAGACCAATTGGCCGGAGTCTCAGCTGCGAGACGACTGTGCGGTGTTCGAGGTGCGTCTGGTCTGTCCACAGGAGTTGAAGCATCTCCTTTTAGCCGTCCGATATATGGGTCGATCTCTCGCTTCGATGAGTTTTTGACGTCGGAAAGTCCCGTGAAAAATCAGGTCATCAATTGGGATACGAGATCTGTTGTCGACGACGGCACCAATTATTATGACGGCCTGAAGAAGAACGAAGAATCGTCCACTTGATTCTCGCAAAACCTCTCGTCTTCATGAGCGATCTTCAGCGCGGCTCACCTAAGTACATATAAGCCGCCGAATGAAAATCCGGAAAGGGCAAGGCATTCGGAGCAACGTTTTTTTCTCTTCAAATCCCCTCCCTCTATGTGTAATTTGCGGAGCCCCGCGTTCGGCGAAACCTTTCCTTTCACCGCTTTGGAGACGATTGTCTTTTGGAACTCCCTTGTGTCGTGACTCGACGCCGCCAACTCCGACCAGACGGCGTTTCGAGGCTTCCGGGCCTTTGGTTGCCATAGATCGTGGAGCTGATCGCAACGAGTTCCCCAGCTGAGCCCTCCCGCGAGTCCCGGGGCTTCGGGAAGACCGGCTGTTGTCACTCAAGAACGAGTCTGAAATAAACTTCCAGAAGAATTCCGGAGGCGATCGTGAGAACGTGACCAAGGAAAATGCCCGGTAATCGTTGTTCGGGGGCACGTCGCACGACTTTGAGGGAACGGACGTCTCGGGGCTCACTCCGGAGCTGCTAACCTCCAATCATAGACCTCCGTATTTGTGAAGAGCGATTCAATTTACCAGGCACTGTGATTGTGGAGGTTCATGCGATGACGCTAAACCCTACCGTACCAGCTGATGAAGGAAGTGTCGTTCTTTGATGCGATTGTGAGTGCTGCGCTCGCGAAGTATTCTCCGCTATTGCAGCTGTCGTTGTTGCTGTTGTTGTTGTTACAGTGTGAGTCAGATGGACAGATGCGGCGCTCGCTGAATTCAGCTGGGTGTGCCACCCTGTTCGACGCGCGTGCACAGGGCCCGCTCGCTACAGGAAGGCAGACAAGCCGATTCGAATATAATAGGTGATACGAAAAGCTGGCCTCGCTTGAGCCGTCCCAAGGCCAAGGCCGAGATTTCCGTAGACTCTTCGATATCGTGCGCTCTAGATCGTTTCGCATCGTATGGCATAAGACGATCTTCCAACGCGCGAATTGAACGGTGTGGGCGCGATTGTAAGACCTATCCTCGGCTTTTCTCGGGGGTACGCGAATGCTAGGGAACATGTTCCTCTTTCCACAGGGCCAAAGCTGATCGTGGGCTGGGAATAAAATTTTCCTCTCCGTGTTGCGGCGATTCCTCGCATCAATCTTTTCCTCGATCCGTTTCCGTGTTGAGAAGGTCTCTCCGATCCTCGCCCAGGCCAATCAGGTTCAGCGAACGCCGATTATCGTTTCGACGCTCGTGAACCTGGGCAGCGACGAGAGATACAAAAATATCCTGAAAAGTCCACGAAAGGTTTTGGGCTGGGGAAAAGGCTGAGCTCGGAGAAAAAGTGGAAATCGACAGACTAGCGAAAAACAGACATAGCGTGCTCTTGATTGTGGCGATCTTGGGAACAGAATAGGGATCGGCGAGCGAGACGCCATTGACATTGAGGACGATTTACGACTTCTTTGAGATTTGAAGGTTAAGAGGCTCTCAGCAAAAACTTACTGCCTCCTTACTCAATAGGTTGCCGCCTCCCGAGCGATTCCCGTTGACGAGCCAGAAACTCAACGAATTGCTTCACCGAGCGACCTGGCATATATCCGCAGGTCATTTACTTCCGCTCATCGCTGGTAAAGAAGTCGTCCCTAAAGAATGTGGGCCCTACCCATTGTGTTGGACATTTTTTCCGCGCGAGCCGGTCGGATCTCGATAAACCCGAAAAGGGGCTCGGAATGGCTGACGGCGGGCATCGACTTAGAATCAGTTATCGTTGGCCAGCGGATATCACGGGTGTCGGCTGCCGAACGAAGCTTCCTCGTTGCTTTGGTGGGTCAGTAGAGCTGTAAACTCTCGGACGAACTCTTCTTCAGACTTAGTCACGGTTCAACGGCCCCTACAGACACAGTTACCAAAAAGAACGCACGGTCGAACCCACGGTCGAACTCGATGAAGGAGAAGAAGAATAAGAGGAAAAGCAGCGACGCTGGTTCGCTCTCCTCCGCACTTGAAACCCGATCTGAGAAACCTTGCAGGTCGCTCCGAAATAGACTCGGGTCGAATGACGGCACCTCAGTGCGGTGCCATGACCAGTCGCCTGACGTAACCGAGAGCGTGAGCTAGCTCGTGACGCTCCGCAGTCGGGTGTGATCGGCCGATGTGAGAAATCAGAATCGAGCTCAATGAGGAGATAACCAGAATAGCTAATATTCGCTCCTGCTTGAAGGCGTCTCCGGCTCTTCGTTTGAGTATCCGGGGGGAACGTCTCCCCCTGTGGTGAAATCAAGCGTTGAAGATGTTTCGAGGTAATCTGGCCAAGGGATTACCGAGCTTCTAAACATTGCATAAGTCTGACCAAACGAAAAATCGACCTGAAAAATCGAGAACTTCCAGTAACGAATTCGTTCCTTTGCAGGCGATGCAACGCAAACCTCTGCTTCGAGCCAAAGAGCGGCAATTAGAAATTGTCTAGCCCGATCGTAGGTGAGTCTTCGACGAATCTTCCTGGGGGTCGTTGCAAAACTCTATCTGTCAGCGACGGATCAGTAAATCAAATGATATCCACACCTACTCTATGTGCCTGAAGCATGTTTCGGAAGGCTTCAAGCGCTAGTGAGCGAGCTCTACTGACTGACTGACTGACTGATTGAGTTATGGGATGCCTCTGTTCTATGGGCAGCGGGCCGGGCGGCTTCTCTTTTGCTCGACGACGGCGGAGGCTTGTTTGAATGCTTCCTCTGCCCGCGAATGAGCTGCAGATTAGATTGATGGAAGCTAAAGCTGGACGCGACTCTTCGTGCCTCGTGAAAAGATGAACGTTTGCACGAATTTTTACAGACTTTTCGTATTCGTCATTGCTTCGAATTAGTGACGTGGTTCTGAACGGCAGCGCTTGCGCTGAGTTCGGGCAGCGAGCCGCTTCGGTCAGTCGGCCTGACCTTCAATCCTCCACCGGATTGTTCAGATCAGCCGTCCGCGGGGACGAGGGCGAATCGATCGATTGATTATTATCTGAGCTTGACAAATAGACGCAACCCGGTCTGCTAGTTTTTCCTCCGTCGAATTCCCCCATGGCAAGGGCAAAATCCCGGAGAATCCGGGGAATTATCTTCTCCGAATCATCTCGGACCTCGGAGAAGAGAATCATCCACGGTATCGAAGCTAGGCTGACCCAGGAGTATGAACCCAGCCCACACAAAATTCAGAGTCGATGTCCTCCTTTCAGGTATTGGTTGGCGACCGACCGCGGAATGACGACGTCAACGACCGCTACGGCGGTCCCGGACGACCTTCTCCAACAAGGTCATGTGGTTAAGGAACGATGGAAAGTCGTTAAGAAAATTGGTGGAGGTGGGTTCGGAGAAATATACGAGGGTCTCGATCTGGTATCCAAGGAACTCGTCGCTCTCAAACTGGAGTCTGCCAAGCAGGCCAAGCAGGTAATGTAGTTGGAAAGAATTCTCTTTCAACTTTTCGGGGTTTGCCATGCTGCACGAGACACTGGAAACCCAGCCGGAGAAAATTGTCTGAGCCGATCCATAAATTCTCGCAGGTGCTCAAAATGGAGGTAGCTGTTCTCAAAAAGTTGCAAGGACGCGAACACGTGTGTCGTTTCATAGGCTGCGGACGAAATGATCGTTTCAATTATGTCGTCATGCAGCTACAAGGGAAGAACCTCGCCGAACTCCGGCGATCCCAACCCAGAGGAGCTTTTAGTCTTTCGACTACACTGCGCCTCGGTCTACAGATACTGCAGGCCATTGAAAGCATACACAGCGTCGGATTCTTGCACAGAGACATCAAGCCATCCAATTTCGCCATGGGGAGAACGGCGCACAACTGTAGGAAGGTGTACATGCTCGACTTCGGGCTCGCGCGGCAATACATCACTGCGTCGGGTGAGTCAATTAGTCTCGTTCCTCCAACTCCTGCACGATTCCCGCATCTCAAGGAATCACATATTCGACTCCTCTGAAGAGGTATGGATACCACAACATATGCTTCCGGCGAAGCATTCCGTGCTCCGGACCGTCCTTCCCGTGATGCGGAACGCGGTCTCTCTGTTCACGTCCTACTCGCTCGTTGCCGAACGATTTCTTAGGGTCTTCGTACCCCGTCGTTTCACGACGACGCCGGATGTGGTATGGGATGAGTGTCCTTGGCTCCTCATCAAGGTCGAACGCATATTTGGCAAGGGCGTGGACAACCCTGTCCGAATAGTAGACTGTGGTCACGCTCTGCTCGAGAACTGGACCGGGAGCTGTCGATTTTCCATAAACACTGCTGCCCTACGGCACAGGCTTCGGAAAATGGAAGAAGCCTAAATCGAAGCGACCTATCGATACGCTGTCCCATGTTTTGAGATCACGGGGCATATATCGTTCGATTTTCTTGGAACGAGTTTCTCTCCCGTGTGCTCGGCGGACCTCCAAAATTATTATTATCGAATCGAAGGAAGGGCACTCAAGGCTTCGATGCCCACCACCGGTGCCCAATCCCTCGAAGCTTCTCCACACATAGGAGTGCTGCAGATCTATGGAGGAGGCTAGAACTCTGATGGAAGTCCGTAGGATGAAGTGAGGATAGTGAGTGTATTCTATTTCATCGTCTCAGGTGAGGTGCGACCACCACGAACGGCGGCGGGGTTCCGAGGAACCGTGCGATACGCGTCCATCAACGCACACAAAAACAAGGAAATGGGCCGTCATGATGATCTTTGGTCCCTTTTCTACATGCTGGTCGAGTTTGTCAACGGACAGCTACCCTGGAGAAAAATCAAAGATAAGGAGCAGGTACGTCAGCAGCGACAAACTTCCTCCACTGCGATTTATTGGAGTCCTGTTCAGAAAATGTATTGATTTTCATCCTCACAATACTTTCTGATCTGGAATGAACAGCTAGGGAAAGCATCGCGCCTGAAAAGAAATATTCCCGGAGAGCGAGATGTGTCCGAACGCAAATAATTGCAGATTCCCCTTCCAGGTTGGCATCATGAAAGAAAAATACGATCATCGGCTCCTTCTCAAACACTTGCCGTCGGATTTCCGTCAGTTCCTTGATCAGATCAGCTCACTCGACTACTACGACAAACCGGATTACTCGAGCTTGGCGACTCTCTTCGAGCATTGTATGAAGCGTAGAGGAGTCAAGGAATCGGATCCGTACGACTGGGAGAAGACGTATGCAGACTCGAGTAACAACTCGACGTCTACCCTCGCACCGAGCAAACCAACAGAGTACGTATCCGAATCCAGTGAAATATCGTATGAGGAACACTTCACGGACGCAGCGTTGTCCAATAGACCTGAGGGGGGAAGTCGAGAGAAGGAACGTGCAGAGGGTTACAGGGATTCTTCGGAATTCGAGCTCGCTAAGGACTTCGGATTTCGTGAGATATCCCTCTGAGGGATGACAGCGTCGAAGTCGGGAAAGATATTGCACGTTAACCTTCGGGGGAACTTGAACGATCTCCCTATCTCTCCGTATAATTCTCGGGCCGGATTAGGTCAGCTAAGTCGCGAGGATCGTCTCGTTCTCTCGAGAATTCCCCCTGAGCTTCCCCGACGTGGCCTGAAGCCGCTCGGACCCCTCGAGTTCAGGGGGCAATTTTCCGTGAGAGAATTTCTGGGGCATCGAGTTCCGGTCCGAATTGCGATCCTGTCCAAGGCCAGACCCTGTTCTGATAGCATTCTGATGCATCACAATCATTATATTTCCAGGAGCATTCCAGCTGCAGCAGCAATCTCGACGACCCCGCTCACAACTCAGGGCCAGACAGCTCAAACAGACAATTTACTGGGAGCGGGTGGAGTGTCTGAAGAGAACGTCATTGGCTCTTACGATGATCAGGCCATACCGGATATGAGAAGAACACCAAAACTTATTGCTCCTCAACACGCGGTTCCTCCCACGAGCATAGACATAACGCCGGGGGAAGCACTCCAAGCAGCTCATCCTGGTCGTTTGTATCCCGACAACGTTCGTCCTATGGTCCACGAACAGAACAACAATTTACACTTGAACGCGGGCGAAGAGACACCGACCGTCGACGAGCGGACCAAGTCGCGGCTCACCATGGAACAGAAGACCGAACCTTCTGGTCAAGGTGGTCACCAGGTCGGAGTTGTGATGAGCGCCAGTACTGGCCGAATGACCCACTCGGCGCTGGGCGGAGAACGGGGTTCCAGCCCCGCAGAGCGTGAAACCCGGATTTCCGGACACCACACCCTTCCATCGCATCGTCATCCACAAAGGAGCCAAAGTACTCTCGAGGAGAGCAACAAGGTCAAAAGCCGCCAAGACCTCGAACACGCTCAGCAGAGAACTGCGGGGTGAGCCGACGTGAATTATCGTCACAGATCGGTGCCGATAACGTGTTGTCATGTATAGGAAATCTCGAATCGCATCCAAGCCTATAGTAGATGAGTTTAGAACTCCTGACTGCCTGTTGAGATTCTTTTCCATTTCGTTCTTGAATCAGGAGCTCGTATCGACGTCTTCATCATGTCAGACGGTCTGGAACGTCGGGACGGGACACGTCCTACACCCAATTCGCCGTGGCAGACGACATTTCGGCTATGCAAAACGTAACGCGGGGCGGAATCGCCGCCATGACCCTCGCGTCACGGTGGCAGGGTTCATTCGATGACTCCGAGGAAACCGATCACGAGATGGACGAGAATAACGCAATTTCGCCCGAGCAGGTTTGTCAGCCAACCACCCACCTACCCACTCCCTATGCATATATGTTCACCAGCTTACCATCTCACGCGTCATCCTTACGGAAGCTGGAAAACTTAGCGGTCGATAGATTACGCACTCTCTTGGAAATCGAGGATTTGGTGCTTAACCGCATGTCGAATTCTTCACTAATGATAGCGCGTGCGGCCGATTGAATCGAAACTAACCTTAAAACCTCAACCCATCCCTGAAGGCTGCAAAATCAGAACAACGAAACAAACAGATCAGTGAGAGGCTAGAAGAAGGCCGCATGGTTATTGGCGATGAAGCGGAGGTCCCGGTTCAAGCTAAACTACAGGCGCACATGCAGCGCACGATGAGTCAGCCCGCATGCAGTCGGTCAGGGAGCGAACGTGCTCTGGCACGAGTTTGGAGCTGTCCTTCGATATCGTTGAGAAGCTGTCGCGAAGAGGACCCGGCTGCTGCAGGACATCCTGTTAAACAGCAGTCCCTAGATTCCGCGCTCAAAGACGAACAGGAACAGCAGAAACAAATTTTCGATACTCAGGTAGACTACCTTCTCAGGACGACTGCATGGCAGCCGACAACGTCAGCGACTTGGTTCCGAAGGGCACAACGATCACTCATCCATTCATTTATTTATCCATCTCCGCACCCCATCGCAATCCATCTCATTCGTCAAACATTCGCCGTCGGAAATTATTAGAGATGCGAGTCATTATCCTTGTTCGAAAGCCGCAGAAACTTACCCCTCATAGCATGCGATCGTTTGGCATTGAAGCCCTAATCCTTTGATCGTTCGTCCGAGCAACGAGTGGGTGCCCGTCCGTTCTTTCATTCCTTCGTTCCCCTACAGGAGCCCGAAAGAAGGTCTTCGTTACCTTCAATACATCTTCGGGCGACACCCCCTGGTCACGACGAGCGGGAAGAAGGCGAACAGCAGAGCTCGAATTCCGCATCGAACGATAAGAGTGCCTCGAAGCAGCCAAAGGGTATCTTGAAAAACAAGCCCGTCATCCAGGTATTGGAACGCGCCAAAGAGCCGGAAGGTGAGTTAGTTCTGTCTGTCTATGTGACCCAAAACCACCACGAGTTGTTGTCACCGGCTGCTCCGAGGGCCGTCGGCTTCCCTTCTCTCCGGTAGCGGTATCCCATCTCTCTCTCCCTTCGCTCGCCCAGTGATCGCGATAGTTATCCGTTCGCTTGTCTGTGTGTCCGTGGATCGATCGGCTGTCTCTCTTCGTCGCCTGTTCGTTCGTTTTCCCCCGATCGTTCATTTTCCTGATCTGTTGGCCCAATCTTATGCACTGTTCACAGGCTCAATATATTTTGACGCACTCTCACATCTTCGCGGCGAGAGCTCTAGCCCAACGGCCGGTCGGTCCGAAGAGCACAGTGGTCACAATCTTCTCTCCACGACAAGAGCTCCGAAGGCCACTCAAGCTGCAGCACAAATTATTAGGGTCTCGGATCTCGCAGGTGCGTTCTCTGCGAAGCCTCCTTCCCCTCGCAGATATCGAATAGAGCTCCGCGAGTTATCCGGTTCGCACTCTACGTTCATAAACGTCAAATCGTTCCCCGTCGAGCCTGTTCGAGCGCCCCGGTATCAATGACTCGGAGGTGTCTGCGAAGTGCCTCGGTCTATTCTGAGCAGTTCTCGACTACCGATCCTAAATCATACGTTCAGGGCTCCATTGTCATTTCAGGTGTTTTGCGTCGCAACTGTGAAAGCAGCGGCCTACAAGTAAGTCCACCTCTCGCGGCGAAACCATCACGCATCCCGGTTAAATTAGACTCACCCGTTCAGATTAGACATAGACAACAGATTGTCTCTACAAACCAGATGGTAACCACTCCTAACCATCATCGGAGGAGGCCGCAATCCATGGTCGAGAGGGACTGTATCTTCCAGGTAACTCGATTCAAACTCCCGTCAATCAGCCTCGTTAATTTGCTTTGGAAGCGATCTCCTCCATCTATTCCCCGCAATCTGAGTTCGGCCGGAGCTTCGCCCGCGAAGCCTGATAGCCCTTTAGCTGGTCCCCATAGGCAAACCTCCGCCGACTAATCCGAATAATTCCCTGTCGACCCCGAGAGACGACTAATGGTCTCGACCGGCACCTCTCTCCTCGCCTCTTCGGAGGAGCACGAGAGAATCTCTAAGTTTACGTTCCGCGTCCCCGATTGCAGCAGCATAATCTTAACGTTTCGCCTATCCGTAGGACGAGGGACGGGGGACGAGAAGCGGCTCTGTCGGCCGCTTACCGAACTGTCAAGACAACAGAACGTGGTCAGGAGGGATTCTCCAAGTGCCTGTGTGTGTTGCCGTATTCCCAAGTGTTGGCGGTGTTCCAGAAGACCCAGGTCAAGCACCGGCTCCTCTGCCCACAAGTAAATAGAATCGAATATTTTTCTCTTCTTTTTTCCCCTCGCATTTGTTGCCACTCTGAAATCGCTGTCGGTGTCATCGCTGCCGGCTTTCTCGATTTCCGAACTAACGTCTCGTGGCATTCCCGCATGCTCCTCGAACTCTTTCGGAGGTCGAGTCGTTCCCCCATATTCCTTTTATGTTGCGTGAACCTCTAACAGCCGGCAGTCTGATAAACAGACCGCGGCCTCCATCTCGCCATCGGAATGCTTGAAGAGGCCGTCGTGCTATCGAGACGCTCTGACTCAGTGCGGTACGCACTTGTGTGTGATGATTGCAGGAGTGCGACAGCGTCCTTTATCGGTGGTAGCGGGCTCGAGCTCGAGGGAAGCCATTTTGCAAGAGTCGTCCGAGCCAAATGTTGCGTCGAGTACAAATCATCAACAGTTCGTTTCTGTTAATCAGGCTGGTGCTCCTTGTCTGGCCGCCCCCACGCCTCCACCGGGCAATCCACCACCTAACAGTTGCGTGCCAGCAAGGTAACTAACAACAACACCGTCAGTCTCTTCCCTCGTTTGTTTGTTTGTTCGTTTGTTGGATAGTCTGTGAGTCAGTCGATTCTTGTTGTCTCACATTTACTAAAACCCGGCGGAAGAGGGAGGGAGTTCCCGGCAATCGATCTCGATGTTTCGCACAGTTCTTTGAAAAATGACAACCGTATTCTGTGATTCCAGGCGGCGGCGTTACCGTCCCTTGTCGCCCAGTGACCTTGACAAATGACCTTGGCTCTGATGGTCCCGGTTCTAATGATGAAGCAGAGGAAGAAGACGCATGCCAAAAGGAGCATCCGACATCAGACGGGAACAAGCTCGAAAACGTTCGACCTCCTCAAGCGGCTGAAATTAGCTTCACTAGCAAGAAGATCAAGGTCGTGGACGCTAATGCCATGTTGCCAAGGTTGAACCAGCTCGAACGAGTTGTGAGCCATAGCAACATAAAAGAAGTCAAGCTCAATGGATACATCGTCGAAGGTGGCAGTGAAGGTGACGAGGAATCTGAGGAGACCGATGACGACGATGACGACGACGACGACGTCAACGTCAACTATGAAGAAGCTCCGGGCATCGAGCACGACGTCGGAGACAGAGCCGGGAGCTACAACGATGGTCCATTGGGGGAGACGATCTCTCGGATGGGCTCGTTGTCAGCTCCGGCACGGCAGGTGTCTTTCGATGTGTCGACCGTTCGCGTGAGCGACGCGAACCCTGGGGCTCACTTCGGAGTTTACTCGTTCACTTTCATCGCGAAAAAGCAAGACGACCTGGAGCCAATTATTGACGATGATGAACACGCGAGTAATAGCGAGGGTGATGACTGTGATGACGCGGAAGGTGAAGCGGAGCCTGAAGATGCGGAGAAGCTCCGGAAACTCGCAAACGAAGGAGCCGAAGACGACGAGGATGACAGCGGAGATGAACCAGAGGATCCGAGACCCTTCGTCTCTCCCACCATGGTTGCTCGACATCAAATAAGGCTTATTCAGCCAGAGAAGGAACGCGTGGAACAAGATGAAGACGACGAAGACAGTGAGGAAGAGAGCGAAGAGGAAGACGAGGAGGATGAGGGAGACGACGGGGAAGAGGACGGTCCTCAGCCTAACAATGTCGAGCTCGATCCGCAGCGACGGAAAACTCACGCACCCTTTGCCGACCCTGTCACCGATAAATGCGAAGAAGGTGAAGATCTCAAAGAGCCTCGTGCCATCTCTTCGTCCATTTCACCGCAGCCCTCGAAAGACTCTGCCGTCGTTCTCGATCCCGGTCACTCATCTGCCGTAGCGTCGTCATCATCGGTTGCGAACTCGCTGAAAGCCCCGTCTCTTTTACATGTGAGCAAATTGGAAGAGGAGCGCATACGTCAGTCACTCGAAAAGAAACGCAAGACATCTACTACTTCCACTGAAAAAACAGCACAAGAAACTAATTCCAATGTCGTCATCCGATATGTCGTAGTCAAGTGTGACGATGACGATGATGACGACGATGATGATGGCGAATACACCTACGAAGAAGTGGACGATGACGAGGTCGATGAGGTCGCTGCGCCGCCTAAACCGCGGACGTCGAACGGTTGCGGCAGCTTCGATGAGCTCCGGATGAACCAAATGAACTCAATCAGAAGCCGGAACGATTGACGGCCCGGGTTTCCATCGGATCGAGACTCGCTCAGATGGCGTGAAGCAAACCGAATCTCTTAGGACAATCGAATTGAATTCTCATCCCACTCGGACAGGAAGAGCACGGTCTTCTTCCCGCAGCCCAGGGGGCTCTTCCGGGGCCCGTGATTTATTGACGCCTAATCGACAGCTCCGGCGATGAACGTATGAACTCCTCAAGCGTTTGACTCTGCTGCGGATTATACGAGCGTAACCACCGAGCCTGTGAAACATGGTGCTGCGATTCGATCGAGCGAATCTCGAAGAACCGCCGCATTACATCGTTTTCCAAATCAGACGGCTCGGCCGATCTCGGATGGCGGAGCCCATTGCAGTCGCTTGACTGCGCGTTCCACTCATGTGAGCAGCCTCCATCGAGGAATGGTGCGGAACGGGATGGCTACTAGCGAATTTCACGATTGTACAGGAGTACTAGTTCAAACTGCAATAGCATCAAAAACATCGTTCGACCACAAGCATTTTCTGCTGAACCATACATTTCGCCGGTCAGGAGAATCTATCCGCCGACACTCATCAATCCGGGACATTGGTCATTCGGGCAAGACCCAAACGGGTCCCGCAACTCCTTCTTGCAGGGATGCAGAAACAAAAAGCGGATCTCGACAGCGGGTGGCGGGAGCAGAGCCGTCGCGGAACGAGCGGATGACGCATTACGACACTGAACTTGATCGAATTCGCGTTCCGTAGAGCGAGCCGTGATCTGCGGAATACGCGGAGATGTTACCCTCGAGGGGAACCGGCTTCCGCGGTCAGCCAGCCAGCCAGCCAGCCAGCCAGCGAGCTTCTCTGACGATTGTAACGGCATTTCAAACGAGACCGTCAACGGAGGTGTAAAAGGGGGCGTGCGGCTATCTACATGAGTGGGGCTGGAGTCGACAGGTGGTCACTGACATGATTCCCGCATCCGGGAGAATACCGTGGCTGGCGCCCAATCGTCGACGGTCTCCAGTTGACGCACTCCCTTCGACGGGCACCGTTCATGCATACCAGTCGGTAAACTTTCCGTTCGTGCTGCTGTGAATGCCAGGTCCGAATCATAGAACAGACAAATGAATAAGCAAGCATACAGACAGACACAGAAGCCGGTCTGCGGCAATGCTTGCGTAAAAATATCGGTATATCAATTGTCCCCTGTGTAGTCAGCCGGTGTGCGCGGAACGAATTCTCAAATGGCCCTTTACTTGTCGTTTGATTTCGCGCGAGCTGTCTTCTAGTCGAGAGTTTTTCTCTTTTTATTTCTGTTGCGTATGTTTCGTTCCGAGGTGAAGCTATTTTGCCAATTCGCTCTCTGTTGGATGGGAATGTGGCTTAGCGATATTGTACGTATCTAGTCCTCCGGCGATCGAGCTTTATATTTTCAATTATCCCAGTGGGCACACTTACCACACGAAGCTCTAGTCTTGACTCAAACAGGACTTCGCTTCGATTTTCCAAGTCTGCGCTTTCAAAGCTTTGTCGAAGTCTTTCCTCCGTGAACCTTGCGTACGTGAATGTCGAAAGATTTTTCTTAATCTAACCGAGCAACGAAATCCAAAGCCGATCGATGAATGTTTCCGCGTGATTACTTCCTGTCGAACGGGCCAGAGTCGGCAAATCATCAGTGATCCCCTGCTCCCGCAGCGAGGAGATTGCGTTCATATATCGCGGACATATTCGCATACTTCTCCATGTCCACATTGTTCCTTCTGCTGACCGCCTTCTCCTCGAGAGTCGACAGGGAAACACGAGAGGGAGGGGGCTGTGGTGGGATAGGTGATCCTCGAGATGGAAGCTCTGTCGGCTGGTCTATCGCACCAAAGCTCGAGAGTGGACTAATCGTGGAGCGCTTTCCGAATAATTCTTCCTAAAGCCGAGACTTTCATTTTCTCGACAATCTTATCACAGGGAGGTCTGCGGAATATGTTCGGTTCGCCTAACGCAGCTAGCACCTGGCGAATTCATCGGCATCCATCTTTTACTTCTCTTCCACTACCCATCTCGACATTCGAGGAATAATCTAAGAGCTTGAACGCACTCCTTCAACTTCACCCCGCTCATTGCCTATATTGCCGAGACCCATGCTCGGGGTGAGTGCGCGTGCCCGCCCGCTCGCCTGCTTGCGTGTATGTATGTGTGTATGTATGATTGAGCGAACGAATGCGGGTGTGCCGTCGTGATGTTTTGTACACATTGTACATACTATTGGATACCATCGAAGGAAATTGGAGTAGACCGAAGAACCCACATGTGAGTGGGTCGACTCAAGATCGGGGAAAGCAATTTACGGACCTTCATCCAGCGGATGCGGAGCCACGCAGAACGACTAGCGAGATCGAGACAATTCTGCGAAGACCCTACTAGATGAACGTATTATCGACCGGAGCTCCAGATTGTTGTTCGCAGATTCCTGCGTCTGATGACTGAGCAAACGAGAAACAGGCCAGAGCTCTGATTCGATCGGCATTGAATGACTCACGTTTCTTCCTCTCCCCTCGAATACAGAGGAAACTGAGACCGAGCGGGATTGCGATTGTCTGATCAACCCAACCGCCCTCACTCAGTCAATCTCGGAAAGGAGGTTCGTCCACGAACCGATTGAACAGAATCCATGGGGAGAGTGCCGAGAGCCCGCGAATCCGCTGATCTCGGCGATCAGCAAGGGAATGCAGGGGGTGAGCTTATAGTCTCGCTAGACCGGAATCGGAAGAGTCATCCGTGGAAAAATACTAATCAACGCTCTTCTAGAAGCAGTTCGGGGAACCCGAAGTCAGAGGAGGGACTCAGGCCTGTGCGGGGAGTGGGTGGGGAATAATGAATTGTAAATACTTCCGTCGGCGTGCAGCAGTCAACATGTGTCAACCACCCGATCCTGACTGACGGGCGATGATGCGAGGAATATATCACGGCACGAAGTTCAGCAGACAGGGAAGGGCCCGGTTATCTGAGAACGGACTCAGACAAGAAACAGGCTTAGCAAGGGGTGTGTAGAAATAATTAATACGAATTTCGATACAGAAGTTCACTTTGTTGCTCTTTGGATAATGATAATGAGAGGTAATGAAATGCGTAAGGAAATATATTACAATGAGCTGGCTCGAGAGAGAGAGATTGATGGGGAAGATTGAGACGAGGGATTTTTCGGATAAGCAGATGAAATAAACTATTTATTGTGTTCTCGCAGAGAAACAGAACCGACTCTCGTTCTTCTTATAGCTACCGTTCCAGGCTGAGAATCCTGTCTGAGTTCCATGGGATGCAACCCCCACAGAGCGACATGGTCCTTTCATTGGCTCACTAACAAAAAGAGCCGAAAAGGATGCAGCACGTAGCCGGCGTCGATGTCCGGTGTCGATGGAGCTGAGTGGGAGTACAGGGCTGACAATCGTTGGGATGAAGCAGTCGAGACTTGAGTATGAATCTCATCTAAGTTTGAGAGGCTGGAGCGTCGGGAGAAAATCCGATGACTGCTGGGGTGCGTTCCCCGCTACACGCTAGAACGGGGGAATCGCTTTACCAGACCGCTCCCGAGAGCGCTAAGCAAAAATCGCCAATCGAATTCAGTTCCCCCATGCTGGTGCCGCTTCTTCATGGGAGACGGAGTCGGGGAGTGGTCGGCCGCGTGCCATCCATACTCATCGTGTGGCGAGCAGCCTGACGCTGATAATATTTGGAGCCGCGCCTCGATTCTTCGGAGAACGTATTCTTCCGAAACTGAATGGTTCCCGCATTCGAAAACGTTGCACTGGGGCTTTGTCGATTATCCTAATCGGAGCGGACTGATTGTGGTGCGTGATTATTCTAAGGAACCGGTCGAACATTCCTGAATTTATGTCCGTGCTCCAGGTCAGAATGCGTCCTTCGTTCTTAATGTCCCCCGGGGAGAGACTGAAATCGACTGTGGCGATACCCTGGAATGAGGATATCGACGAAAAAATTCCTGACATGAGATTCGCTACTGATCTTTTGGTGCCCACGGTATCACCTCTCCGTACTGCTGCTTATCGAGGCCGTCGAAGTCCCCGCTGGGTTTTGGCGGGAAATCCACCGCGAGGTACCTACTCTAACGCGGACATGCGCTTGCATGTGACTTTCTGTGCACGTACCTGCAACTCGTAACACTGTGATCGTTTTCGGTTCGATTTTCGCTCTGAGCAATAAACTCGTGAGTCGCACCCTGAAGATTCAAGGATGAAGTTCCTGGCGCAAGTTACAAGCTGCGAGGAGAAGGAAGACCTCATATTGGTTTCCATGCTGAATCCAAGATTCATACGGGGCACCCAATTAGGCTTCAAATTGTCGAAAGTGCAGAAAATAATGGATCAGCACCTGTGGTTCCCCAGGATTACCAGTTTGTTCACGGGAGAGCTCAAAGATGACGAGGAACTGACAAAAGTGAGTTGGAACATCGCAACCGGAAACTTTCTCATGTAGAGTTCGGCTCCTCGGCAGCATGACGGACGCTGCTACGATATCGTCGATTTTCGAAGATTTCGTTTGTCCGTAGGTGGAATTTCTGCAAGAACAACAGTTCCGAGGCGTGATTCGCGACTGGAGCCCTATAAACATGCGAGCCACTGTTGAATACCCTGATATAGCGGAGTCCCATTCGCAGAACTTCAGGAGCCCGTGGCTGGCGAAAGGCGACCGAATTATCGTCAAGGGGAACGTTCTCGGATCAGATTGGAGTGTTGGAGATTTCCGCCTGCATCGACGGGTCCAAACATGCAAGCTTGAGACTGGCGTCATTACGAATCTCAGCGCATACTGCGGCGAATTAAAATCCTCTTTCCACGAGGATATAGAGTTCGAATACCAAGACGTTCTACTCTACGACTGTCGGGACTTTTTCCCTGAAGGGCTCAAGGAACTCGGATACGTCATCGATTTAGAGGAGACCTTCAGAAAGGGCGAACGCGTTTTTTTCATCCGTGCTCAGGATCCAGACCTCGAAAGGGACAGTGTGAAGGTCTTCGCCCCCAAGACTCACTTTGGACATTTGGATCCGATATTCAAGCCTCCATTCAGTGATATACGACACGCTTCGACAGGGAACCCGGATTTCGTCAACAATCACGAGTGCCCAGCTCAGATCCCCTTCGAAGACGCCTCGTTCCCTTGCGGTTTTCGGTCGGAAAGTCGAGGGAACATCCGCTGCTCTCCCATAGCGACATCTTGTCCAGACATCAACGCTCGTTGTAATCGCTGAAAGGATTATTGCGCGAAGCCGTATTTATTATTAGCTCCGTACGCTTAAGCGCGATCTCATAGTCTATCCCAATGTTTCCTTATCCCGGCGAGAGCCTCTCTCTTTTCAACTGTTGGAACTCGGATTTTAACCCTTAAAGCTGAATAAACCGAGAACCCTTTTCCAGAATTTTTTTTGCCTCAATCGAGAGCGCCTTTGCCCCGAGATCTTCCCTCGGGTCTCTGGGATATCCGGACCACTAACGAACAGCTCGCAGAATTCATGCGAGGCCGTAGGCTTGATGGGTCGCACCGTACTCGGCGAGCAGGTCGCTGAGCTCCTGAACTCTGCCGTCCTCACACTTGCGATTTCGCGGCTCCTCGAAAGCTCGATCCGTCGGGACCCTCAACGAGAATGACCGCAAAAGCGGAAATGGCGAAAGCTAGACCGCCGCTATCTTCGAGTCTCGTTTGAGTGAGATCTCGCGGAGTACATACGTCTGGCAAATGGTGCTGACCCCGAGGAACGAGCCTGGCTCAACGTCCGCAGGCTGCTGCGTGAAGCTCCCGCAGGGGGGGAAACATTGGTCTCTGACTAGATCCGAGTCCTCGTTATCACATGACTCCGCATCCTCTTCACCTAGAAGCATAACCTCGGAATCGGGCCTTCGAACCCCCGGTCGATGACGCTTTCGTGGACACGGGGCCAACTTCCAAGGGACGTCACCCTCCGGCCTTACTCAACGGAAGAATCGTGGTCAATCTTCGTCCTCGTGACCTCTGATGTTTTCGCCAAAAAGGCAGCTGGGAGAAGCTCACTAGATAAGAGATCTTTCCCAACTTCCGACAGTCAACGGGTCCGTCAGCGGGTCTCCATGGAGGTCCTGTCAGGCAACTGGCCCCGGTGACTGAACATTCGAGTCGATGCTCCATCCCTGAATCGATTCCGAATCAATCCAGGAGTGATTCCAAAATTGATCTTCCCTACCGATATCTAAAGGAGTACAGAGCGGTGGTTTCAAACTAGCAAACGGATAAATATAGATTTCTTCAGTTTCAGTTCACAGGGTTCTTCGTTCCGTCTCGCATCCACGGTGTTCCCAGAAGAGAAGTTCACAACGGAAATTCCGGAAAAAAGAAATATTCCTGCAGGGGGAAGGCACAGTATTGCTATTTTCTCACTCTCGTTCTGCGTCGGGCCTATACAAAATACAGCAAACAATCCTCTCATAGGAGCTTACGCTTTGGGAACGTAGATACAAGCAGTGTCAAGTCGTACAAATCTATAAATTACAACCCAAATGAAAATCATCAAGATTAGCATCCTTGGAATGGGGAAGATTGCTCCTTGCTCCCTCAAAAACCATTCCGCGATACTGGAGGCGTTCCCGATCAGGAGCTGATACCTTCAATGGTTCCCACAAAATGGACCCAGAATGGAAGGTAGGTATATTCCTGATCAGCTAATCGGTGCCAGCCCTCGATGATATGCTGCTCGCAGCTGATATGCAGGATTCAATGGCAAATCGAGCTAAAATCTCCCTTCTTATCGATAGCTGAGGAATGCAAAGCACAAAATCACCCGCCGCACTCTCTGCCCACTAGTAATTCCTCGAAAATGTTCCCGCCGAAAGGAATCCGAGACCCCGATTCCCCCAGCGGCACAACAGTCCGGCCTCGTCAATAGCTTCAGCTGGGAGCTAGATTCGGGAGAACGGGGACTCCCTGACACTAAATGAGTTGATCGCGTTTCTTCACATTGCCACTTCCGATAAAGTTTGGATTGGTGACGATTTTGGTTCTCCGGAGCTTCTGGAAGCTCGATCCTTGTTCCCGATTTGGACACGCGCTTCCGCTTTGCGATGCGCGGCGTTGTATCATGGCAGTGAAGCTCACGTTCCGTTCTGCCGTCCCAGATTCGCTGCCGGTGGCCTGGAAGGTTTGCGAGTCCACAGTGAATCCCACAGACGCCGTCTCAAAAGTGTCCGCAGGAGCATCAAAGCTGAGGACGTTCCTTGGGACAGGCCTCGTTTACTACTCACCGATTCCGTGAAACTGTCCCTGTTGGCTGGCTGGAGGAGAGTCCTGGGCACCGCTCGGGGCATGCCATCTCCGCTGATATTCGAGGAAGAGCTTTGACCACTCTGAGTGTTCCCTCCGTGGCTCTCGATTATCGCAGCCACGTCAGCATGACCGGCTTTCAACGCTACTCTAGCGGGTGTTCGTCCGCACAAATCGGTATGAAGAACATCCGCCCCGTGGGAGAGCAGAACCTGGACAACTTGAACATGGCCTTCCTGAGCCGCAATGCCCAGGGCGGAAGCTCCCTGATTGCAGACATGATTAACTTGGGAACCTTTCTCCAATAGTAGGGCCACTACCTCGGCATGACCCTGCCAGGCGGCCGATTGCAGGGCTGTCCGTTTTTCCCGATCCACTGCGTCAACTTCAGCTCCTCGACGAAGGAGCAAATCCACAACTTGCTTGTGTCCTGCGAGCGTAAAATCGAAATCCGTTATACGCTTCCGATCCCGCCCATGCGGTTCGTCCCGTATGTGGGCGTCAGAGAGTCAAGAACGCAGGTCAGGCGACCTCCCGTGTCTTACCTTGCCAGGCGGCAACATGCAACGCGGTTCGTCCCTCCAAATCGACAGCTTCGATGTCGGCGTTGTGATCAATGAGGTGATCGATCATTGCGACATTGTCTTCCAAGGCCAACAAATACAATGTCGTCCGACCATCAGCATCCTGGAACACGCATCGAAGGGGATTCAGAGGCTTGTCACGGAGGTCCAACAACTCGGCTCAACTGTCCGATCCACAACACACATTCGGAATGCAAAGAGTGGTCAGCACCTTGTAATTCACGTTGGCGCCATGACTTAGCAGTAGATTCACGGTCTCCCTGTGGCCTTCCATAGCGGCCATTCTGAGCGCAGTGCGCCCGTCGTGACTCCTGTGTTCCAAAATCTTTGGACAACATTCCACAAACAGATGCACACATTCCGTATGACCTTCCTGAGCCGACAAGATCAACGGAGTACGTCCATCGGTGTCGACTTCGCTGGCTGGAAAAGCGATGAGAGGGAAATCTTCAAAACCATGGAACGCCTTTTGATGTGGAAAATTCATGTAGATAATTTTCAAATCACGCAACAATGATTTTGAATATGAAAATAACTATAAAAAATAATTATTTTCCCGCAGCAAGAGCTTTTTCCTTTCTCCCGGAACCCACACTTACGTTTTGCGCCAGCTCGCATAATTAATTGGCAAACGAGAACGTGTCCCTCAAAAGCTCCGTAATGGAGAGCTGTCCAACCCGCATTATCTCTGTGCAACTCATCGAGCCCCCTATCCAGTAGGCATTCAACAGTTTTCGGGTTTCCTTGGGCGGCTGCCACAGAGAGAACTGTCCGACCCTCGGAATCGATCGAATCCACGTACGCTCCCCAGAACAGGAGACGATTTACCTGGACGGAAGGAATGGATGATGGATGAGAATACCAGAAGGAGGGGAAATCCCCCACATACCATTGAATAAATGACGAGTCTCGTAAAACAAACTCACAACATGAGCGTGTCCCATTGAAGCAGCCGCGAATAAGGGTGTTCGTCCCGTCGAGTCAACATGATCAACATCCGCGCCTCCTTCGAGCAAGAGCTCACATACTTCGGAATGTCCTTCGAAAGCCGCTACTAGAAGTGCGGTCATGCCCTCAGAATCTCGGTGGTCCACTTCGGCGCCTCGCTCCAGGAGTAGCGATACGACCGCCGAATGGTGGCCTTGGGACGCGGGGACGCAGAGAGCAGCCACACTCAGAGCTGTCCGGCCGTCCTTATCGGCGTGATTGATATCAGCTCCGTTGTCCAGAAGGTGACCTGAGTAATAAATCGAGCTCGCACAATCGTTGCCGCGGAGATGCGATCGAAAAATCTATGGTTTCCCGTCGATGAGATTTTTCCCTTTCGGGGTCCGAATCCTTACCCACAATAGCTGAATGACCCATGTAGGCGGCAGCGATGAGGGCGGTTCGGCCCTCGGCATCTTTGGCATTCACGTCGGCTCCGGCCTTGAGTAACTTGAGCACGATTTCATCGTGTCCTCCCCAGGACGCCGCCCTCAAGGCCGTTCGTCCGTCGGCATCGGCGAGATCAACCTGAGCTTTATATTCCAATAGAGTGTCAACCACTGCCGCGTGTCCTGCCCAAGCGGACGATCGCAGCGGGGTCCAACCGTCGAGATCCGCGTGGTCGACGGCCGCACCGGATTTGAGGAGAACTTCAACGATTTGGGTGAATCCTTGACGCGCCGCTGGAGAATTCAATTATTGGGTCTTTAAAACGTAACGCCTCCTGTGCCTTGAACGCGTCGACCGGGAATATAAACCAGGAGGCCCAAAAAGCTCTTTCAGAAGGAAACGAAGCGGGGATTCTTACCGAGATTCAGAGCGGTCTGTCCATTTCGGTCGGAGCGTTCTATCTCGGCTCCGATCTCCAGCAATCGCACGACGAGATTCAAATCCCCGTCGTTAGCCGCCGTGTGGAGCAGAGTTCTCTCGCTAGTCGGGTCAACCTCGTCGACGACTTCGGGGTCGATGGTCAGCTGATTCTCTTCGAGCATCGAGGTTGCCAACTCGCTTACGGATGTGAGATCATCGTCAAGGTCGTCCACACTCACGCACGTTCGGAACCTTCGGAGCCAACGAGATTGAATTTCACTTTTCGGGTCAGCCATGTCTCACTAATGCCATCCTGCACCGAAAGCCACGCGTCCGGGAACGAGGAATCTACTTGACGCGTTCGGATGTCTAGCGAGGCGATAGATCGCTTCGACAAAGCGTCAAAAACTTATCATTCGGCATTCTTACACGGCTTGAGCGACGTGAATTTCTTTTCGTGGAGAGCTCTCTTCTTATGGTCGTGCTTCCTAATCAGAATACCTAGCTCAACGCGATGTCTCGATTGCGATGACTCACCGCTTCATGTTGGGCGCCGAGCTGGCTTCCAGCAAAGCTCGGAAGACTCGGTCCTCTAGCACCATGCTGTTGTTCAAATTGTCATTTATCGAGGTGACCGAGGCGTACATGATGCTCTCCTTTAGTGGTTCCCCTGTGCATTGACTGAACCACATGACGCGATAGTGTTGCGCGATCCCGGTCCGACTGAGATGGTGCCACAGATCGTCGGCTTCTTCTGCGCTTAGGTCTGAGCTTTTCCTTGAGTACCTGAAGCCGACCGCCATGGTCAGTAGAGAGTTCCAATCTCGACCCTCAGCGCCGAAAATTGCCTTTAAGGTCGCTTCACTCTATTTCCGAACCCTACCGCAGAGACCAGATGGCGTGACCGACTTGGGGCTTGCACAGAAAACGTTGTGTACAGTGTTTGACATCACACAGCCAATCCGAAAAACTTTGGTGGAATATCTTCAGACGTCTTTGGATGCAGACGATGATTTTCGACAGTCTTTTTATATTTTTGAGCAAACCGTCCCGAGAGATCTCCGAATCCCAAGCCCACATGCATTGGTACACTTCCTGAAATCGAAACATTCGCTGTCTCTTCAGGAAGAACAACTCTCGGAATCAAGGTTAGGTTGAAATCAAGTTTGGGGTGCTCTTGATTTTCTTGGACTCTTTCATACCTCGAAAGGAACAGGTCTCGTTGCTGTCAACAGGAGACTCAAGAGGGGCCGAACCTCGCTATCGAATTCGAGCTTCGAGCCGAACAGCCGCTGACAGTACCACAAGTACAGCCCGTTCAGAGTCCCAGGTATATCCCTGATTTCGCGCAAGACTATACTATTGTCCACCACTCCGTCGAGCACATGCTCCAGGTAGAGAAGGCAACCTGTAACTCATAAGAGTTGATGATAATTGTTTGTTGACATCTTCTGGTGCATTTTATTGGACCGTTAGGAATTGTAGAAATAGAAATAATAATCGATGGATATCCGACACCGTGAATTATGCCGACACACTAACGTTAATGAGACTACGCCGAACGCTCCGCATCGTCTTACCGTTGCTCTTGATATGAAGTAAATTCAACATCTCAGCATTCTCGCGACTCAAGTGTTTCCTCAGACCTGCGTCGGCGTCGAGTCTGTTGAGGATGTATTGTTGCATGTCCCGGACCACATTTGATTTCCGCAAATCATCAAGAGCAATCTGCAATAACCGATTTCCACATCACGAGAGCGCATCCGACGCGACGCAAGCCATTTTCTGATCTAGGCGCTCGCGAGATTGTGATGATTATGTCGCGGGTCATCACTTACTCTTCTGAAGCCGGTGAACAATTTGCTGAGAGTTCGACTCTGGCGGCGTGCGGTGCAGACTAGAATCAGCCAGGGAGGGAACAGATGATAATGTGCGGATAAAAGTTGTGGAACGGTTTCACTCCAGAGAGGGTTTTCAACTGTTGAGGTCGATCGGGCAGTGTGCGTGGAATGCGCGACTCGCTGTTTCAAAGAAAATCTCATTTGGTTGAGCTCGCATTCAACTCAATAGACAATAAGCTTGAGGAATCCTCGAAGTATTTCCCGTAGTCATGAGTCATGTATCATTTCCCAACGACGCGACGCTCCATGCTGTCTGAGCCAAGATGTCCCCCAGAGAGCGAAACTTGGGAACTCTTCTCAAATTCATTCAGAAATTTCGCTCTTCAAGGTAACTTCGCTGGAGAATCTGATCGAACAGAAGCGTCCCCTCGGCTTGGAACTTCGTAATCGTGCATCATCACAGACCCAGTTCGGAACGATAAGGCGGCCCCTTTCCTGTTTCGGTCTTCTCTTCGACGTTACCCGCTCGACGACCACGGAAGAATGTTTATTCAAGAAAGAAAAACTGGATCCATCTCGAGGAATTAATGGAAGACCGCCAAAAAAGGCCCCCACTGGCTTGATCGCAGAATTTGAGCTTCCCTGAGAATTCTCGACATACCGGCAGTTTCCCAGGAGGATATCACGGTCTTCCGCGCAAGAAATCGGTATTCAGTTTCCTCCGGGGGATACCTAAGAGGAAGAGTTCCCCATCGGGAAAGAAACGAACTCACTTCAACATCGGGTCCCCTTTCGTCCATACCGTCCACCAGGAGAATACAGTTCTGGTCCGGAGGTTCGATTTCCACCAAAGGGAACAGGATAGCTTTCTTGAAGGCATCATCTGGGAAGCGTTCGATTTCTGAAGGTTGGAGTAGAGCCGAAATTTCGGGGGTTTCGATCCTGGCTCGATATCCAGGTAGCAGAGGACAGTCAGACAATTGTCGGACGAGTTCAAGAATAAAGTTGACAACACTCAGACTCTTCAATTCTTGAGCATCACAGTGATATCTTGAGACGAGCCGCCGGTGGAGCTCCGCCTGTCTGGATTCTGAATCAGCGGGGTGGGCGATCTCTTTGAGGGTTGTAGTCTTGCCGCTGCCGGGACTCCCAATGATCAAGACACCTGCAGCTTTGGCTTTGCCACCCTCGACGCAGTGGAGAATTTTTTGGAAAATCCATTCTCTAGCTAGAATGGATCTATTCGGCGCCTCCTCGTACGACAAGTCTCTTGCGTTTGCGTCCATGGCAAATCACAGACGCACCATGTCGATTCGACGAGCGCCGTGCAGGTGTCACGGAGAGACCCTAAAGAACTGGGTTCGGGAATTGAGCTCGAATTCCACTCATGAGAACTCCGACACTCACTCGGTTTTCAATTTACAGGAGCGCAACTACGGTCGGCGCCATTTTGCTCGCCTGATGAACGCATTACCGAACTAGAGGGCGGACTGGAAAGGAACGCCCTTCTGAATCACAACGAATCCTTCCTCCAGAAAGGCTGCAAATACACAGCATCAAATCTAGGTAGCAAAAGCAGAACATAGCCCAGAGCGAACAGAGGCGGTCAGAATATTCGAATCTGAGGAGTCCCGCTCGGAGTCTCAGATTTCCGATCGCAGTCATCGAAAAGTTGGTCCATTGATGAGTCGATGCACTCCGTCGGTCCGGATCCAAGGATCCGATCCCGATCGCAGACCTGAGTTCTGAACGACGGAACTTCCACTTGTCAACCAGGGCGAATTCTTTAGGGAGTACTGGCAGGGCTCACGTATGAGGATGTTCAGTGAAGTCGATCATTCACGTGAGGCAGGGAGGGATGGAGTCGAGAACGGTGTCTCATGCTCGGCATACGTGGTCAGTTCTGCGTATCGCTAGTTTTTTTCGGAGGGATGACGTCCGCATCATTACATCGCATTCATGAGCTCGGTCTTGGTTTTCGCGCCTCATGTACGATTATGTTCGTCACAGCTGAGGTCAGCGAGACGTTGGCAAGAAGCAGCTAGCCTCTGAACAAGGTTCTCGTGCATCATCCTCCGCATGAGCTACTCCTTTCGTAGCTGAGTTCACGGATGACTATCATGAACATAGAGTTTCGCGGTTCGGCGAGGATTTTCGTGATTGAATTCATATATTCGCTTTACGCAAGGAGCGCCTGGGCAGAGCTTATGAGCCGCCATTGGTGGACCGTGGGCTTCTGACATCGCTTCGAAAGGGATAGTTCCAATTCCCGACACCGTGGACTGTATTCCCCGTGGCAATGGAGATGGGTTTCTCGATAACCAACGGTTTAAATTCCGAAAACCACTCTCGTCGATCGCTGAGGTGACCAGCGGCGCCACTATCAGCGAGCCGGAAATCATCATCATTTTTTCCGGAGCACCATCCGCGTTGAACAGCAATTCTCCATCTTGTTCCTCATCTGACAAGGTGACAACGGCTTGAGTCCGACTCGCAGACATTCTCCTGCTTTGACGATACTTGTGTCGCTCGGACTTTTCAAGACAGACCTTTCCGCAGGAGAAGCATTCACCACCGGATTTCCGCGGATACTTGGGTTCCGATACAGAGGTCTTCGAGAGGAGAGCCACTGAAGAATTATCTCGTATCTGAATGATTGAACCGGCGTCCTTCGATATTTTCTCGACTCTCAACAAGCGAGAGACAAGGTTGAGCCGAGTTTGTTCCGCTGAGCGTAGATTGCCCCACGCTATCATCAAATTGTAATACTTTCTGGGCAGCTGTAGGAACTTCGGAATGATATCATCTTCCCCGGCAACTTTTCCCGGACCCGTCAATCCCGGGACCATCGGCTCCAAGTTAGCTAGATGCGCGGCCACATCTATTGATCCGTACATTCTGTGCGCCTAGGATTCTCGCCGCAGGAGACTGACCGACAGCTGAGATCTTGACTCGTTGAGGATCATGATAGCTCGCACGACGGACAATTCCACAGGATCGAGAATCACAGCCCTCACTTTAGCTTCGATCTTGCTCCAACAGCCAGTGCACTGACCGTGGCTACCGTCCACCGTCCCAGACCACGAACTTGCTTCTAAGTAGGACTGCACTGTTACACTCCGGAGTGGGAAGCCATCCTTGCCATCGAACTTGGAGACTTGTGGTTTGTCCAATCTTCCGCTGGCTCTCCCATGCTCTTCCTTCCTCCGTAGCGCTTCCTGAATTTGAACTGTTAGTCACGGGCTGGGCCCAAACCTGAAGGAAGTTATGCAAGGACAAAGAAACGAGGAGTTGAGCGAGGTCCGCGTCAATAGGATGGATAATGACGAGTGTTTCATTCAATGAAGAACATCGAATGATATAGACTTTTTCGGGCACGCGTAGTCAGAGTCTTCGTCTCCCCATTCTAACAAGGCCGATTCTTCCGTTTTCGAGCACGATTTTTACATCACTCAGCGGTTTGATGAAGGTGTCTCTGATAACATGCGTTCGTTGTCTTGAGCATCGTCTTTCCAGGCCTCGTATTCTTCGGAACAGAGCATGGAGAGCTTGCGGCCGTTGCTGGTTCTTCTTGTTCCTCAGGGAAGAAAAAATCGGCCGTCCGGTCGATGGCGATATGTACCTTTTCCGGAACTCGAGGAAAGAGCAGAAAGACGCTGTGTCACGTCCCACCACATCAATTGCCAGCGAAAGCCACGAGATCACACACGGAACTCCTTAGGCGGGAACGACTCCATCTTCCGTCGCCACTCGACTCCAGGTCACCTTCCAACCAAGGACACAAGGTTGGACCGAGGTTGTACAGGATGCGGAAGGACATTTCTCTTTATCCTACGAGGTATCCATCTCTAAGCGAGCAGTTGTGATAGAGCGGAAGTGGCTCGCGCCCAAGTCGTCCCTGTTCAGCACGAGGACTGAGGCCTCTGAAACAGTCTGGACTCGATTGATTCCTGATACATCCCAGCGTCGAGTCTACGGGGAGTAAAATCACTTGTCTGGAGCGTAACACGGCTCAATGCTCTGTCAATGGAAGTCCTCTCACTTGATTCTCTCCTTGTCCTGAGGATGGAAGTTTTTCGAGCAGCTTCAATGGAATGCTAATAGTCTCCTGACTGGTGAGCAGCATCCGCAGAGTACGTGTATCACAGCTGAGCGCACGAGCCGACACGGGAGGTCAATTTGAATCCAAAACACTTATGCGAAAAATCAAGCTCCGCTCCGCTTAGGGAACAATTCGTCTTCCTGGATAATACGAAACCATCAGCCGTCGTCGCGGCATGGTTTCCGACTACGTGGAAACGTGAGCAACATCTAATTAGTCTACGTGTCCGCAAGATGATTCTGTCCATCTGCCATCCGGCTCGACTTAATGAAATCTTTGCCTCGACTTGAAAAACCGAATGGCGGTGTTTTTCCCTCGTCGCATTCGTTTAATCGTCGATCTTGGCGGACAGGCTCCAACTTCGCGAGACCATAAAGCACTGCTAGGTGTTCAATCTTCATCTTTTTCATTTTGCTGCTCATCCGTCTGAGCGCTTCGCTGTGCCCGGCGTTGTTATACAAGAGCGAGAAAACCGACAGCGATGCCCTCAAGTCTCACAATGGCGATGTCGACAAGAGCAACAGGCTGAAGTGACGTGTTGAGAGTCTGCTGAGTGGAAATTTGTCTTTTACTCGTTCGTTTCGTGTTTATTGACGACGCGAATCGAACACTGTTTCACGAACTCTTTCGGAATCGAGGTTCCGAACTATGATGCTGCTCTCTCTGTAAAATACGAATCGTGCTTCGATCGTTGAGGGCGGGCTAGCAAGCTCCCCGTATTAACACCGGCAGGAACAATCGCGAAACCAAAGAACGAAGATTGCGAGCAAGCGCGCGAGCGGGCCGAATTAGCGGCGACGGAACACTTATTGCGCTGAATTCTCGATCGGAATCATCGAGCGTCATTCATCACCGGAACGTGGGGTGTACCGCCTTTATGCTTGTTCTCCGGGTCCGAGACGAAAGCGGTCGGTCTGGTGTCAGCAGTGGGCACTGTAGCGTCGATCGGAACGCTCTGTGTTGCGACTTCTGTGAGTTGCTGTTCAATTGGCGTAAACGCATCGAAATCTATCCATCTTCTCAATCGCCAGAGCGGCCATCGTTTCCCCAGTTCAAATCGAACGCTGCATCGAGAGGTTCCATTGTTCAAATGGATATTGGGATCATCGGAAGATTACAAGTACACATTGAGCCATGATAATATAGAGTATGAATCTTTTGTACTGTGAAGCCGGATGGAGGACCATCGCATCGGTGATCGGCCACTTCGTTGATGCCTTAGAGTGAGGGCTCGACTATATCCGAGACACAGACTCGCTGCGGTGACGACTCTCCTCAGTGGTCAACGAAGCCGGTATCTTCGGCGAGCTCCGACGAGATCGTTCCCGACCCATGTTTCGGTCCGGAAATTCTGGGTCGAGTGAGTGGAGCACCCGGCGAATGTCGTCGCGTCCTGACTCCCCCTGATCGATAGGCGAAGAGTATTCCAGATTTTTGTCCGAGAGCAACTCGACACATATTCTCTGCTGTTGCTCCGCACGCAGTCAATTAGAAGGAGACGCGCGTTCCCTGTCATTTCCTCCATCGGAGATTTGAGAAAATTCCCTATAACTCAGCCCATCTTCAACAAGTCTACTCTATACCTAAGCAAGGACTTGAGCTCATCTCTCCCTCGTCAGTTCGTGCGAATGAACTTCCATCATCAGCTGGGCATTGCTCAGAGCTCCGGAAAACTGGAACCGCAAGGGGCTTTACCACCGGCGCGCAAGTCAATCGATGCACGCGGTACTCTCAGCAGTCTGCTTCGGGTCCCCCACGAAGTTCGACGGGCTCTCACGGAGTGATCCTCGACGGCTACGCTCCAGGGCTCGGACCCTCAGGCTTTTGCTCGAGAAGAGACCTCCGAAGCGGTGGACGTCCGAGTGACATCGTCCGCGCGCGTTAAACACCATCCCCGATGCGCTGGATTTCATTCTTCCCCGCCGATCTTCAAGTCGGAATCTTAGATCTGTAGGCTATCCTCATACCTATTTGCAATGCCTCTCTCGGGCGACTTGAAAGCATCTCTCGCCGACGGAAAACTCGTTTTTGATGGTGAGCCGCTCGCGAATGATCTCGGGACGCCTGTCTGATGTTTGTCCCGGGTACCGAATGTGTGTGAAGCCTCGTAGGTGTCCCCATGATGTTCTATGCGTGTACATACGGTGGTGTGTATCAAAGGAGATAATTTGTTCAATTTCCATA